AGACTGTCCAGGAGCTCAATGACACCCTGGTCCAGATCTGGGAAGAAATACCCCAGAACACCATCCATTGTCTCATTAGGAGCATGCCCGACGTTGTCAGACATACATACAAGCACGTGGGGGCCATACAAACTACTGAGGACCATTTTGAGTTGCTGCAATGAAATTTCAGCAAAATGGACTAGCCTGCTGCGTCATTTTTTCACTTTGATTTTCGGGGTGTCTTTGAATTCAGTCCTCTGTTGGTTGATAATTTTTATTTCCATCAAACGATGGGGCATCCTTACATTCCTAACACCTTGCCCAGTCCATATCAGTATAGTTATCAAGCATGATATTTTTCCCCATTGAGTTCTGATGTGTTTCACAGTGTTCCTTTCATTTTTTTGAGCAGTGTATAAAGTTCTGTGTTTTTATAGATAAGCATATATAGTCCCCTCAGGTTTATAGTCCTTCTATATAAAACTCTTACATAAAAAAACCCCAGTGGTGATCAAATACCATGAAAAGAAAGCTCTATTTGTGTGAAAAAAAATTATAGAAATGTAATTTGTGTACAGTGTAACCATGCAATTGTCAGTTTAAAGTAGCGCAGTGCCATATAACAATAAAATGGCCTGGTCATGAAGGGGTAAAATTTTCCAGAGCTTCAGTGGATAAATAAATATTTTATCTTGATCTTGGCAGCCCCCTGACCTGGAGAGCATTCAGCAAGCTGTACTTTGAATTGGGCACCCCCTACCATGTGCAGTGTGGTGCGACATCCCTCTACAGGCTGCTGAGGCCATAACATCCACCTTATAATGTTTCTGAAACAGAACAGGTGCTATACTACTATGGGGGTCTCATTTTGGGATCAAACTTTACTAAACCTCTATAGGACCTCTATATTATATTTACAGTCAGGTCCATAAATATTAGGACATCGACACAATTCTAACATTTTTGGCTCTATACACCACCACAATAGATTTGAAATGAAACAAACAAGATGGGCTTTAACTGCAGACTGTCAGCTTTAATTTGAGGGTATTTACATTCAAATCAGGTGAACGGTGTAGGAATTACAACAGTTTGCATATGTGCCTCCCACTTGTTAAGGGACCAAAAGTAATGGGACAATTGGCTTCTCAGCCGTTCAATGGCCAGGTGTGTGTTATTCCCTCATTATCCCAATTACAATGAGCAGATAAAAGGTCCAGAGTTCATTTCAAGTGTGCTATTTGCATTTGGAATCTGTTGCTGCTTCAACACTCAAGATGAGATCCAAAGAGCTGTCACTATCAGTGAAGCAAGCCATCATTAGGCTGAAAAAAACAAAACAAACCCATCAGAGAGATAGCAAAAACATTAGGCGTGGCCAAAACAACTGTTTAGAACATTCTTAAAAAGAAGGAACGCACCGGTGGGCTCAGCAACACCAAAAGACCCGGAAGACCACGGAAAACAACTGTGGTGGATGACCGAAGAATTCTTTCCCTGGTGAAGAAAACACCCTTCACAACAGTTGGCCAGATCAAGAACACTCTCCAGGAGGTAGGTGCATGTGTGTCAAAGTCAACAATCAAGAGAAGACTTCACCAGAGTGAATACAGAGGGTTCACCACAAGATGTAAACCATTGGTGAGCCTCAAAAACAGGAAGGCCAGATTAGAGTTTGCCAAACGACATCTAAAAAAGCCTTCACAGTTCTGGAACAACATCCTATGGACAGATGAGACCAAGATCAACTTGTACCAGAGTGATGGGAAGAGAAGAGTGTGGAGAAGGAAAGGAACTGCTCATGATCCTAAGCATACCACCTCATCAGTGAAGCATGGTGGTTGTAGTGTCATGGCGTGGGCATGTATGGCTGCCAATGGAACTGGTTCTCTTGTATTTATTGATGATGTGACTGCTGACAAAAGCAGCAGGATGAATTCTGAAGTGTTTCGGGCAATATTATCTGCTCATATTCAGCCAAATGCTTCAGAACTCATTGGATGCCGCTTCACAGTGCAGATGGACAATGACCCAAAGCATACTGCAAAAGCAACCAAAGAGTTTTTTAAGGGAAAGAAGTGGAATGTTATGCAATGGCCAAGTCAATCACCTGACCTGAATCTGATTGAGCATGCATTTCACTTGCTGAAGACAAAACTGAAGGGAAAATGCCCCAAGAACAAGCAGGAATTGAAGACAATTGCAGTAGAGGCCTGGCAGAGCATCACCAGGGATGAAACCCAGCGTCTGGTGATGTCTATGCGTTATAGACTTCAGGCTGTAATTGACTGCAAAGGATTTGCAACCAAGTATTAAAAAGTGAAAGTTTGATTTATGATTATTATTCTGTCCCATAACTTTTGGTCCCTTAACAAGTGAGAAGCACATATGCAAACTGTTGTAATTCCTACACCGTTCACCTGATTTGGATGTAAATACCCTCAAATTAAAGCTGACAGTCTGCAGTTAAAGCACATCTTGTTAGCTTCATTTCAAATCCATTGTGGTGGTGTATAGAGCCAAAAATGTTAGAATTGTGTCGATGTCCCAATATTTATGGACCTGACTGTATATTTGACTTGTGAAGATTCTGTTTGTATGTCATAAAAAATCGGGCCACTGATGTAATTTTCAATATTACTTTTCATTTGTAGGATTGGTCCATCCTGTTAGACTGAGGAAACCTGTATTTTTCGTGGAATGGCTGCAGTTTGGCAGCAAGTCCTGGCAGTTGATGCAAGGTATTAAAACACAAGGATTCCTTTTCTAAAATGTTCTACCTGCAAGGTGTTTGCTGTGTATTTCACAATTTTCGCTGATGACCTTTTGTTTATATAATGTACACTGCAGGTCATAGTGGACTCAAAAGAAATGATGTGGGAAAATGTTAAGATTTGTTTTCTACATATAGGAACCAGACATAATTGAGCCAGTGCAAAAGTTTTTAAAGTGGTTGTAAACCCTTCCACATACCCAGTGAAGTGACTGGCCTCAGGTGATGCACAGAGGTTAAACAAATCCTCCTACCTAGGTTGTACCTGTTTACCTGCAGCCATCTCTTCACCACATACCTTCAAAGTGCAGAATTTATAAAGCTTGTCAGAGATTTCAGAAATCAGGGGGGCATAGAGCTGAAATTACACTCTGTAGAGCTCAGTGAGGAAAGCTGAGAGCTACATTTAGTCATGTTACAACCAAAAACGTACATGTATTTTATTGGGATTTTATGTGATAGACCAACACAAAGTGGCACATAATTGTGAAGTGGAAGGAAAATGATAGATGGTTTTCAAAATGTTTAACAAATAAATATGTGAAAAGTGTGGTGTGCATTTGTATTCAGCCCCCCAGAGTCAATACTTTGTAGGACCACCTTTCACTGCAATTACAGCTGTCTTTTTGGGGATGTCTCTACCAGCTTTGCACATCTAGAGAGTGAAATGTTTGCCCATTCTTCTTTGTAAAATAGCTCAAGCTCTGTCAGATTGGATGGAGAGTGTCTGTGAACAGCAATTTTTAGGTCTTGCCACAAATTCTCAATTGGATTTAGATCTGGACTTTGACTGGTCCATTCTAACACATGAATATGCTTTGATCTAAACCATTCCATTGTAGCTCTGGCTGTATGTTTAGGGTCGTTGTCCTGCTGGAAGGTGAACCTCCTCCCCAGTCTCAAGTCTTTTTCAGACTCTAACAGGTTTTCTTCTAAGATTGCCCTGTATTTGGCTTCATCCATCTTATCATCAACTCTGACCAACTTCTCTGTCCCTGCTGAAGAAAAGCATCCCCACAACATGATGCTGCCACCAACACGTTTCACAGTGGGGATGGGGTGTTCAGGGTGATGTGCAGTGTTCATTTTCCACCACACATAGCGTTTTGCTTTTAGGCCAAAAAGTTCAATTTTGGTCTCATCTGACCAGAGCACCTTTTCCCACATGTTTGCTGTGTATCCCCCACATGAATTCCTCGTAAACTGCCAATGGAACGTCTTATGGCTTTCTTCTTGTCATTCTTCCATAAAGGCCAGATTTGTGGAGTGCACGACTAATAGTTGTCCTGTGGACAGATTCTCCCACCTGAGCTGTGGATCTCTGCAGCTCCTCCAGAATTACCATGGGCCTCTTGGCTGCTTCTGATTATTGTTCTCCTTGCCCGGCCTGTCCGTTTAGGTGGATGGCCATGTCTTGGTAGGTTTTCAGTTGTGCCATACCATTTTCGGATTATAGATTGAACAGTGCTCTGTGAGATGTTCAAAGCTTGGGATATTTTTTTTTTATAACCTAACCCTGCTTTAAACTTCTCCACAACCTTATCCCTGACCTTTCTGGTGTGTTCCTTGGCCTTCATAGTGCTGTTTAACTAATGTTCTCTAACAAGTCTCTGAGGGCTTCACATAACAGCTGTATTTATACGGAGATTAAATTGCACACAGGGGGACTCTATTTACTAATTAGGTGACTTCTGAAGGCAATTTGTTCCGCTAGATTTTAGTTAGGGGGATCAGAGTGAATGGGGCTGAATACAAATGCACGCCACACTTTTTTCAGACATTTGTAACAAAATTTGAAAACCAGGTATCATTTTCCTTCCACTTCACAATTACCGTATTTTTCACTCCATAAGGCGCACCTGACCATAACACGCACCTAGGTTTTAGAGGCGAAAAACAAAAAAAAAATATTCTGAACCAATGGACTGCATACATAGTACAGGGGATGACCAGAGACTGCGGACACAGTACAGGAGAGACCAGAGACTGGTCCTCTCCTGTACTGTGCCCGCAGTCTCTGGTCCTCCTGTACTGTGCCCCGCAGTCTCTGGTCCTCTCCTGTACTGTGCCCGCAGTCTCTGGTCCTCTCCTGTACTGTGCCCGCAGTCTCTGGTGATCTGTACTATATCCACAGTCTCTAACCATCTCCTGTAGTATGTCTGCAGTCTCTGGTCATCTCCTGTACTATGTCCGCAGTCTCTAACCATCTCCTGTACTATATCCACAGTCTCTAACCATCTCACTATGTCTGCAGTCTCTGGTCATCTCCTGTACTATGTCCGCAGTCTCTAACCATCTCCTGTACTATATCCACAGTCTCTAACCATCTCCTGTACTATGTCTGCAGTCTCTGGTCATCTCCTGTACTATGTCCGCAGTCTCTGGTGATCTGTACTATATCCACAGTCTCTAACCATCTCCTGTAGTATGCCCGCAGTCTCTGGTCATCTCCTGTAGTATGTCCGCAGTCTCTGCGGACATGTACAGGAGATGACCAGAGACTGCGGACACAGTACAGGGGATGACCAGAGACTGCGGACACAGTACAGGGGATGACCAGAGACTGCGGGCACAGTACAGGAGAGGACCAGAGACTGCGGGCACAGTACAGGAGAGGACCAGAGACTGCGGGCACAGTACAGGAGAGGACCAGAGACTGCGGGCACAGTACAGGAGAGGACCAGAGACTGCGGGCACAGTACAGGAGAGGACCAGAGACTGGTCCTCTCCTGTACTGTGCCCGCAGTCTCTGGTCCTCTCCTGTACTGTGCCCGCAGTCTCTGGTCCTCTCCTGTACTGTGCCCGCAGTCTCTGGTCCTCTCCTGTACTGTGCCCGCAGTCTCTGGTCCTCTCCTGTACTGTGCCCGCAGTCTCTGGTCCTCTCCTGTACTGTGCCCGCAGTCTCTGGTCCTCTCCTGTACTGTGCCCGCAGTCTCTGGTCCTCTCCTGTACTGTGCCCGCAGTCTCTGGTCCTCTCCTGTACTGTGCCCGCAGTCTCTGGTCATCCCCTGTACTGTGTCCCCTGTACTGCAGTCTCTGGTCATCCCCTGTACTGTGTCCCCGCAGTCTCTGGTCATCTCCTGTACAGTGTCCGCAGAGACTGCGGACATACTACAGGAGATGACCAGAGACTGCGGGCATAATACAGGAGATGACCAGAGACTGCGGGCATAGTACAGGAGATGGTTAGAGATGGTTACTGTGGATATAGTACAGATCACCAGAGACTGCGGACATAGTACAGGAGATGACCAGAGACTGCAGACATACTACAGGAGATGGTTAGAGACTGTGGATATAGTACAGGAGATGGTTAGAGACTGCGGACATAGTACAGGAGATGACCAGAGACTGCGGACATAGTACAGGAGATGACCAGAGACTGCAGACATAGTACACCAGAGATGGGACATTAGAGACTGACTGGATATAGTACAGGAGATGGTTAGAGACTGCGGACATAGTACAGGAGATGACCAGAGACTGCAGACATAGTACAGGAGATGACCAGAGACTGCGGACATAGTACAGGAGATGGTTAGAGACTGCGGACATAGTACAGGAGATGACCAGAGACTGCGGACATAGTACAGGAGATGACCAGAGACTGCGGACATAGTACAGGAGATGACCAGAGACTGCGGACATAGTACAGGAGATGACCAGAGACTGCGGACATAGTACAGGAGATGACCAGAGACTGCGGACATAGTACAGGAGATGGTTAGAGACTGCGGACATAGTACAGGAGATGACCAGAGACTGCGGACATAGTACAGGAGATGACCAGAGACTGCGGACATAGTACAGGAGATGACCAGAGACTGCGGACATAGTACAGGAGATGACCAGAGACTGCGGACATAGTACAGGAGATGACCAGAGATGCGGACACAGTACAGGAGATGACTGCGGACATAGTACAGGAGATGACCAGAGACTGCGGACATAGTACAGGAGATGACCAGAGACTGCGGACACAGTACAGGAGATGACCAGAGACTGCGGACATAGTACAGGAGATGACCAGAGACTGCGGACATAGTACAGGAGATGACCAGAGACTGCGGACACAGTACAGGAGATGACCAGAGACTGCGGACACAGTACAGGAGATGACCAGAGACTGCGGACACAGTACAGGAGATGACCAGAGACTGCGGACACAGTACAGGAGATGACCAGAGACTGCGGACACAGTACAGGAGATGACCAGAGACTGCGGACATAGTACAGGGAAAATACCAGGGACACATTACAGATGACCAGAGACTGCAGCCAGTGCAGGGGATGACCAGAGACTGCAGCCAGTGCAGGGGATGACAATAGACTGCGGCGAGTGCAGGGAATGACCAGAGACTGCTGACCTTTGGGGAGGGAGGGGGAGCGGGTACCTGAATTTGACAGGTACCCGCTCCCACTTCCGCGGTGTTGTTCTTCCCTCTTCTTCCTGCCCTGGCTTCTGTGACAGCCGGGTGCCCACTGCGCATGCGCGAGAAGCGCTGCGCTTTGTGATTGGCCCGGCGCCTTCTGGGCCCTTTGTGTGTCCCAGAAGACACCGCACCATTCACAAAGCGCAGCGCATGCGCAGTGGGCACCCGGCTGTCACAGAAGCCAGCGCGGGAAGACTGTGCAGCGCTGGAGCGAGGAACAGGTAAGGCCCTGCAGGAGAGAACAGCTGAGCGGCCAGCCCGATATTCTGACATGGTGGCGGCAGAAATACCGGACCGGCCGCTTTATATTCGCTCCATAAGACGCACTGACATTTTCCCCCCTTTTTTGGGGGAAAAAAGTGCGTCTTATGGAGCGAAAAATACGGTATGTGCCACTTTTGTGTTGGTCTATCACATAAAATCCCAATAAAATACATTTTACAGTTTTGATTGTAACATGACAAAATGTGGAAATTTTCAAGGGGTATGAATACTTTTTCAAGGCACTGTAGTATATACAATTGCTACACAAGCCATGTTGTAATTTAATGTTATTAAATATATCCCCTCTTTTTCAGTCTGGAGCCACTGCAATTTTCTGTACTGGAGGCATTCTGTATACAGTTGGTGCACAAAACACCCCCAGAAATGTTATTTCATGCTTCTGTGGTTGCCTCACTGATTTTCCCCAGAGTTTGATACAATTCAAAATTTAGGCACCCTTGCAATTTTTTTTTTTAGTTTTGATGAGATACTTCCCAAGAGTTAAATATTTCCAAAGGGATGCAGACCCTGCAGCTATTCTCATTAGAACTCTGAGATTGCACAAACTGATCATAATGAACCAGACCCTACCAGCCTGAATCACTCTGCAAGGGACTTATTGAAAAAAAATCCCAGCAATTTCTTCAGAGCAACAAAAGGTTGGAAACTGCTATAAAGTTTGTTAAACCCCCTGCAGTGTACATTGATCACGCAGAGAGTCCACGATATGGGGGCTACAGCTGTTGATCTGTCCTTTTGAAAGAGCTACTTATCTAGCTGTCATGCTGATCCCGAAGACTTCAATACTCTCTGAGGCACTTTTCCAGGACAATTATTAAAATCAGCTATTTTGACTTCACTTGCTGCATGCTTACTATAAGTTAGTGACTCAGAAATGATTGAAGAAAAATATATCAGTAATGGCAAAATGCATATTTCTCTCAGTACAGATTCCTTTTAGGAACAATGTAAACAAACTGTTACTTGACACTGCTTTGCATACTCAACAAGCTGGGAGACAATATGTGATGAAGCAAGAAATGTCACTTCAGATACGAGGGGACTCCAAGCTTCATATTCCATTAAGCCTGCCCAAACAGTATATATTGATAATAAGTATTCATATTCCGCCATAAGCACAACTATTACGACTTCTCTTTTTTTTTTTTTTTTTTTAAGCAGTGAAGTATGTGCACATATAAATTTATACGGTAACTAACCCACATTCTAACTCTGCCAGGTACAACGCATACCGCACTCCTGCCCATCCCCAGTTTCGCACACAGTACATCCGAAGACGCAGCCAGCTCCTCCGCGAAAATGCAAAGGCGGGGTATGATCCACTCTTACGGCGTCAGTACTTGAAATTGCGCAGCCAGCTCCTGGCGCAACGCTACGGCCCTCTGTCTGAGCAAAGCAGCTTCCGGGCACACAGTAACAGCATCCGAAGCTCTCGAACTACTTTGGATCGCATGGAGGTGAGCCTGATCCTGGGTTCTATTTAGTAAGTAATAAGCAAGCAGTATAGAAAATGTCCCAATCCTAAAACATATCTTTCATAAATTGTTTTCTGTGTTCAGTCTGCTTTAACTGAAGAGAAATCTGGTTTCTTATTACGATCTACATCCATGCTTTTAAAGATCTATTAAACAGTATCTACACTTTCAAAGTGGAACGTAAAGCAGAACTATACTGCATCTGAGCACTGCAAACCAAAAACACTAGTTAATTCATTTTTATTATTCAATGCAAACTCATCCATCCATTCATGTCTCTGTGCTTTATTTTGCTGAGAAACGACTTTGAAAAACACCCCCTAGCATTTCTGGCAGCAGCCATCTTGAGAAAGGGCAGATGGTTCATGTACCATTTACATCCAGGAATCCACCTGCTATTAGCTCAGACATGCAGACAGGAGGGTGTGCTTAGCTGAGAAAACTCCTTCTTCCCTCCTGAAGACTCCTGGGATGTATCATTTACCTAGGCCTGGAAACCAGGAAATAACTGAAGGAATGTAAAAAAAAAAAAGTTTAAAACTAAGGAAATGTAATACACTTTCCTATCAATTTACTAATGCTAGCAGCATAAGGATTAAAAATAGCCAATGTTGATTGTGAGAGTGAAGTTCCACTTTAAAGTGGCACCAAAGTCTGGTTACCTTCTGTTGCTCTCCACCTCTTTCAAATCAATTTTTGTGGTGCTATTACTGCACCACATTAAAAAATAATTGCTTCTACTTCATAGATTTGCAAAGTACCTGTCTCTGTACACTGTGTAGCAGGCAGCACATTAGCACTGCTGCTTCCTCCCCTCCCACCAGGCACTAGCTGCACCTCCTATTGCTGACAGCCTCCTAATTATTGGAGTTTGTTATAGGCTTCCCAGTGTTAATGAGGAGGTGGAGACTCGGCTCCTTGAACAGATTGAAAGAGCTGCAAAGGCTGGGACAGTGATAATAATGGAGATTTTAACTACCTGGAAATTGACTGGAGTAATGGTACTGCATGAACAGGTAAAAGGGCAAACATTTTTAAACCTACTACAGGACAATTTTATGGTACAATTCAGGAGGCCCCAACTAGGAATTATGCTCTGCTGGACCTGGTAATCTCAAACCATGTAGAGCTTATTACGAATGTCCATATAAAAGAACATCTGGGTAGCAGTGACCATAACATGATTTCATTTATTGTTGGCTGTAAACAACAAACAATACAGGAAAAATAAAAATACTCAATTTCAAGAGCGCTAATTTTCCAAGGCTGAGAGCTGCTGTCCAAGACTTAGACTGGGAGAGAATATTGGCATTGATGAACACAGAAATGGGAGTTCTACAAAAAAACTGTGTGTGCACACACTGCAATATAGATTCCCATAGGCAACAAGTTTAAAAGGCTAAAAATCAAACCTATGTGGCTTACGGCCAAAGTTAAAAAAGCTATAGATAATAAGAAAAGAGCTTTTATAAATATAAAAAAAAAAGGAACACTATCATCGTTTAAACATTATAAAGAATATACCAGAATATGCAAAAAGGATATAAAGGCCACAAAAATTGAAAACGAACGACAGACTGCAAACAATTGCAGGACCAACCCACAAAAATTCTTCAAATATATTAATAGTAAAAAGGTTCGGTCCGAGCATGTAGGCCCTTTACAAAATAATCTAGAGTGGGTGATGGGGACAAAGAGAAGTCAAATCTATTAAATACCTTCTTCAGCTGTGTGTATACAAAGGAGCATGGGGGAGCTCTTGTCTATAATGGGCATGGTATTGACACAGCTCCAGATGATCCACATTGGCTCACAATTGATATAATCCAGAAATATTTAGAAAGAATAAAGGTGAATAAAGCACCTGGACTGGAAGGCATACACCCACGGGTCCTTAAAGAATTGAGCTCTGTCATGTCAAAGCCATGGTTTCTAATTTTTAGGGACTCTTTAATGGCATAGTACCACTAGATTGGCGTAAGGCCAATGTGGTGCCAATATTTAAAAAGGGGTCAAAATCTTTACCAAGTAATTATAGACCTGTTAGTTTAACTTCTATAGTTGGGAAGATACTGGAGAGTTTAATAAAAGACCACATAGATGAGTTCTTGCTGGAACAAAATATTTTAAGCAACAGACAGCATGGATCCATGAAAGACAGAAATTATAAAAAAAAATCAGATTTGTTTGACAAGGAGGTGAGCAAATCCTTGGACAGAGGGGTGGCGGTGGACATGCTATACTTGGATTTTTGCAAAAGCGTTTGACACAGTTCCCCACACGGCTAATGTGTAAGGTAAAGTCTACAGGCTTGGAAAAATCTGTATGTAAATGGATAGAAAACTGGCTAAAAGACCGAATTCAGTGGTTAATGATTCATACTCTGAATGGTCTGGGGTTGTCAGTGGTGTACCCCAAGGTTCAGTGTTGGGACCCTTACTTTTTAATATATTTATAAACGATAAAGAGTCTGGGATTATAAATCCCATTTCAGACTTTGCAGATGACACCAAGCTGTGCAGTGGAATAACGTCCTTACAGGATGTCTTCAATTTACAAGCCGACCTCAATGCACTGTTTAATTGGGCAACTATGTGGCGAATGAGGTTTAACGTTGATAAATGTAAGGCTATGCACGTGGGGGCTAAGAATATGCATGCATCGTACATACTAGGGGGGGGGGGGGGGGTACAACTGGGGGAATCAATGGTAGAGATGGATCTGGGAGTTCCGGTAGATCACAAGCCTAATAATGCCAAGCTGCGGTTTCTAAAGTGAGCAAAATCCTGTCTTGTAGTAAAAGAGGTATAGACTCCAGAGAGAGATATATTTACCCTGTACAAATCATTAGTAAGACCTCATCTGGAATATGCAGTTCAGTTTTGGGCACCAATTCACAAGAAGAACATTGGGGAACTGGAGAAAGTACAGAGAAGGGCAACCAAACTGATAAGAGGCATGGAGGAGCTCAGCTATGAGGAAAGATTAGCGGAACTGAATTTATTATCTTTTGAGAAGAGGAGATTAAGGGGGGATATGATCAACATGTATAAATACATCAGTGGTTCATATAGTGAACTCGGTGTAGAGTTATTCACCCTGAGGTCATCACAGAGGACAAGGAAGCAATCTTTACATCTGGAGAAAAATAAATTTAATCTCCAAACAGGGAAAGGTTTCTTCACAATGAGAGCTGTGAAAATGTGGAATAGACTCCCTCAAGAGTTGGTTCTGGTTGCTTTAAAAAAAGGCCTGGATTATTTCTTGAATACACAGAATATAATGGGATACTAACATTTATAGGTAGGTAAGTTGATCCAGGGAATATCCGGTTCCCTCTCAGGGGATCAGGAAGCAATTTTTTCCCCTGCAGGAGCAAATTGGATCAGGCTTTGCTGGGGTTTTTTTTGCCTTCCTCTGGGACAACTGTGGGTATAAGATTATAACTTTTTTTTATGGTTGAACTGGATGGACTTTTATCTTTTTTCAGTCAGACTAACTATGTAACTAGCAACCAATGATACTGACACAGCAGGCGAAGCCTAATAGGAAATCTGCAACACCAGTCAGGTTCACACTCCCCTTGTGCTTAATAGAAGGCAATGGGCAGAATCTATAGCCAATAGCAGGCTGGCTGTTGCCTATAAATCCACTCACTTTCTGCTGTCAGTTACAATGGAAGCAAATCTGATGGGGAACGAATGTCTGTGAATCCCCTTCAGGATTCACCCAAGCTACAAAATTCCTCAGCTACTGCTCTGTCTGTGTCAGCTTTTCTCAGCCAGGGTGCCATGAGGTTATTTCAGAGGTACCTTGGCAAAAGGTCTAAAAAATTGTCCAAAATTTGTATACAAGCCAGCGGGAGGATCAACCAAGCCACGGGTTTTCATTGTGCTCCATTGTAACCTTCTAGCCACCGGCGTCTTGACAACCATTGACATCATTAGTTGATAAAGAGGATGTCAGCTGCCTGCACAGCATCCTAATTTGACTCTCCCCTGCCCCTCTCCATCAGTGCTGGGGGTCTCATTAGCTCAGTGATGGAGAAAAACTGAGTGAGAAGAGAAACAATGGAATACTAGTCAGTACCAGTGTGCAAAGGTGTATTTGCTTTGGAAGAATAAATCACCTCTAATGTTGGGTGTCGTACATGTGTGGATGTTGCTGCGTTTTATATAAAACTAAAGAATAGTTTTTCACATTTTAGAATGGGGTACCCTTTTAAAACTATGGACAGTCTAGAGGCATCCCATTTTAGCATAGGGTGCCTCAAGACTGTCCATAATTTTAAAGGGTGCCTTGTGACTGTGCCTTGAGAAACACTAGTCTGTGTGACAGCTGCAGTGGTTGGATGGGAACTCCATTCTCAATGCATCACTGCATGTGTTGCATACCCCAAATAGATCGGTTTCTAAAATGTTCATGAATCTGTTGCACACACTGACATTTGTTGTGTGAAGGCACATCGGAATTCTGATGGGAATTCAAATCGAGTTCCCCTGACTGTCTCCAAGTTCCTTAGGTTTCACAGCAGAGCCTGCAATTACGAGGAATCTGAGCAACCACAGGGAACTGTTATTTAATACTCCCAGGAGTTAGGAGTAAGTGTTTAAGGGCAGGCAGACATCAACTTGAGAGGCAGTGGTTTGGAAGGCAGATGAACAGTCTGACTCAGGCAGTGTGATGTTCTCAGGAGACCACATGCCCTGAGGTCAGGCTGGTGGTAGAGCAGCAGTTGTTAGACGTAAAGCATAATTAATCCAAAGAATACAATTCTTTTATCCCATCACCCCACATGTAATTGAGATGAACAGAAGTAGCAATATTTGAAATTCAGCCTGGGTGCTTTCTTTCGATCCTTCCATAGATAAACTGGAGGAGTGAGCATTGCCACCCAGCGATAGGAAGTGTGTTATTCACAGGACTAACAGTTGAAAAAAAAGGGGCTAACAGTCTGGAACGAGAATACTAATGCAGCCCCCAAATCTTAACATTGGTAGATTGCAATATAATGCAAACATGGATTTAGATATTCTTAATTTACGTTTAACTCCAGAGCTGCTCCCACACTGCAAGGGTTAAAAGCTCATTTAAACCTAATGGGACCAGGAAAAGCAATTTTACTTACCTACTCCTCTGCTCTTGCTAAGCTCCTCGGTGCTGCTAGACTGGTCCCCACAGCCTCTTATCCCTCATGTTCTAGTCATGGTTGGATGTCCCTGTTGTCAGGATCAATGAAGCGTCCATAGCCTTACACTGGGTGTAGGGATGCTGAGGGACAGTCCACTGCCAGAACATAGGGGGATCACCTTCTGCTGGGGGAGTGAAGGATATGGTAAGTTAAAACTGCTTTTCCCATCCCTTAGACCAAACAAGCATTAAACCACTCCAGTGTGGAGGCAGCCTCACTGCAAGGGAGCATTGTTACTTCTCCTGGAGTTGGGCTTTAAGTGAAGGAAGAGCAAATGGAGGGATGCTGATAACTTAGCACTCATTATTGATTTACTGTATGTATTCTTTCAGGATCTGGAAGAAGAGCCAAGGTCTCAGGGGTCAAGAGGTCACAGGCGTTCGGTCAGTCGTGGCTCCTATCAACTTCAGGCACAGATGAACCGTGTGGCTCAAGAGGAACGGTAAGAAGAACCAATGGAGAATAATAAATTGTGTCACTGCATCTTCACATATTTGTAACTGTGCGCAATACAAACCTTGGTTTTTAGTCTCAAGATTGAAAACTATTTAGTTACATTTTCTTTGCTGGATGAAGTTCTGTACGTTTTCAGTGGAAACATTTGCTTCAGTACAGATAGAGACTCCTAGATCTCACAAGCAATACAAAGAATTAACATGATCATAATGTAATATTATGGAAGTTATTAGGTTAGCATATTAAGTTAACTGGTGATTGATGCTTTCACTAAGTTCTACATTTCCTTCCATCCTCAGGGCTCCTGGCAGTGTGGTGCCTACACCACTGGCTGAAGCAAGCAGGGCAATGGCAGGTGACACTACCCTGAGTGAGAATTATGCCTTTGCTGGCATGTATCATATATTTGACCAACATGTGGACCAAGCTGGTAAGAAACGTGGAAAGTGTATCTAAATGTGACGGTCTAAGTTGTAGCAGCTCAACATTATAGCTTCATGTACCAGATATACTTACTGTTCATATACACGTGTGTGCATTCATTAACTCATAAACGGCCGGATGGGAGCACTGCAGGAGCGGGTTGCCATTCATAAACGGCGCCCACCATTTTAGCCTGGGAGCGTGCAGCACCAGAACACCGATCATTGTACGGGACCTCTGTGTGAGGTCCCAATTAGGGGCGGAAGGACCATTTGGAAACTGCCCGAGGGCCCGGGGTCAGTAGGGGGCCCCATGAGATGCCCCTGGTACCTTTTTCATAGGCTTTTTTGAGTTTGGGCAAGGACACAGGGGCCCCATGATCCCCTATTGCCTGGGGGCCCCATGAGTTGTCAGTCCACCCCTGGTCCCAATCAGTGATCACAAGAATAGTAGTAAGCAAGATGTCACTTCTGACATCATTGCTTACTACTTGTGAAATATGTGAATGATCACAGAGATCACATGGTACGAGGCTATTCACAACAGCCTTGTACCATGTGGCAAGCTGTGACCAATCACAGCTCTCATAGTATTTCTTTATCGGTGTAAAAGCAATCAGTGTAAAAAAAAAAAAATCTTCATCACCCCCCCACAAGTAATACAGTGTCACTATGGTGACACTGTACTGCTAGGGTAACAGTATGTTTAAAAAAAAACACAAATAATATAAAAAAATAAAAAAAAAGTACAAAAAAAATTATAATTTTTGGTTATAAACTAATTTGGGTTATTTTTTTGTTTACTAAAACGATAACGGAATACATTTTGGCCAAGATTTATGAAGAAAGATTATTTGCAAAATATAAGAAAAACACTTTTTCAAAATTTTTGGACTTTTTCATTTATATAGCAAAAAAAAAAAAGAAAATCCCAGTGGTGAATAAATATGACCAAAATAAAGTTTTATTGGTCTCAATGCTAAAAAAAATCATATGGGTACAGTGTTGCACAACCGCGCAATTGTCATTCAAAGTGTGACAGAGCTGAAAATTGGCCTGGACAAGACGGGGGTAAAAGTGCTTCTAGGCTTGAAGTGGTTAAAGAATGAATGCACATAATACTGTCAATGCACAAAGCTGCATGAGTTATTCTACAATTTGTTCATTATTTTATCTCCTGATAATTTGGGCACCAAAATATTCACAAAAACAACTTCTCAGAATCATTGTGAATCTACCTTTTTATGTACAGCATAAATAAAAAAAAAAAAAAAAAACACAACTTTCACACATAATTTGCTTTTTTTTTCTGTTGGAATCAATTGTAAAAATGTATGTGTGAATCTTGGGTGAAAGTTGTGTAACTTTTTTTTTTGTGTGTGAAAGAATTTATAAACCGACCCTTTTGTGGATTGAAAAAATAATTGGTTGTTAACCTCTTGCTTACTGCATAACATTTTTGTGATGGCAAGGTGATTATGCCTTAATGCCCAGCCACCGCACATATGCGTTCATGGGGCACCAGGGTTCTGTGCATGCTCGCAGCACACTGACCGAGCTGTCAGTGACAGCTCTTGATCATGTGACTGCTATGACAGCCAATAACATGATCAGGAAGTTGCCTGGAGTTCTCATCCACTTAAAAGGGCAAGCAGGAAGGGGTAAAGCTCTATTTCAGGCAAACGGCTAAATACACAGTTAAGATTTGTGAACAACCTAGCAAAGGATTTTATTCTGTCCAGCCAGTTTTGAGATTCATCTTACATTGGAAGTCTGCACAGGCAGGAATACACAAATGCACTATATTCTGTATTTTTATTAAGTAGATCTGCATAGAGTTGGACTTTAAATGAGAAAAGAATACCTAGGAATTAAGTTACACTTGAAAACATGTATAAAACAAATTAGCAGCACAATTAGTTGCAAATCAGGCTGCCTCTTTTTCCACAAAGTCTCCGTGACAGGTTTACAGTGTATTTGTATGCTGCGCACCTGTATTCCTGGGAAGCCAACTGCGATAGTTTGCAAAGTTATGGGGCGGATTTTCACTTTAAACAGATGCATAATTAAAACGTGGTCAGGTTTTATTCTGTTGCAGTGCCACTTTACAGTGGCTTAAGGAGGCTTGTACGAATCAAGCTATGATCTTGTAAATCTCTCTCACTGCTCCCATTTGGCATTGCTTTGCTACAGAATTGATAAATGTCCCCAGTGCATTAAGTAAATGTGAACCCAACCTGAATGACAACTAGTTTATAAAATCAAGTTTAGGCTGAATTCCCAAAACTTTTCACACTAGGTGCAGTAGAACTGTGCTGAACATGCTTGCGCAGTCTCACTGCCTTGCAAAAAGTACTACATGTAGTACTTTTACAAGCATAAAGTTCTTTATTACAGGTACTTGTATAGCGCCATCAATTTGCACAGCGCTTTACATATATATTGTACATTCACATCAATCCTTAACCTTCAAGGGGTGTACAATCTAAGGTCCCTCACATTCATACATACACATACTAGGGCCAATTTAGACAGGATCAAATTAACCCACCAACACTCCTCTGGAGTGTGGGAGGAAACCCATGCAGGCACAGGGAGAACATGCAAACTCCAGGCAGGTGGTGCCGTGGTTGGGATTCGAACCAATGACCAGAGTACTGACAGGTGGAAGTGCTAACCATTCAGCCACTGTGCGGCCTTTAAGTTGTATGACTTTTTTTTTTAAATCACCGTTCCTTTCAGAAGATAAGGCTCTTCCTGATTTGTTAGCATTATGAATAAACTCTAATGCAAACTTTTTTTTTTTTGTAAATAAAATACTGATTTTGACATTTCTTGCATCTTACCCTAGGTTCACACCTAAGCGTTTTGCAGAAACGCACTACAGTCCATTTAATATGATTTCCTATGGGATACATTCACATCTCTGCATTTTCACCTGGTGCATTTTTTGGAAAGGGTCAGGGACTTTTTTTTAACTCAAAAAGTTACGTTTTTGGTTCTATAGACTTCAATGGAAACACCGCAGAAAAGCATGTAGTGCGTTTTTTTGCTTGCTCTGTTTTGCGTTTTAAAATATGCCTAGCAACAAGAAAAAAAAAAATGCAAAAATGCAATGCAGAAACGGATCAACCGCAAACTACATAGGTGTGAACCTAGCCTTAGTGCTGCTGATCTCTTGCAGCCTTCTTCTGTCCACATGTGCTCCAGTTATGGCTCTACGCCATTTCTCAGGACTGGTTTACTTATGACAACAGTGGACCAGGTCTGCGTAATGTGTGTGTTTAAACAGCCTCTTGTAGTCTTCATGGGAAGCCCGTGAGACAGGATGCCAATACAAGCGCACAGTTGGGAGACAGGGATAGGGCATTGTCCCACCATAACAGGAAGGCAGGAGCACCAGGTATTATTTGAATGAAAGCAGATTTAAAAATAGTGAAAATTACTTTTGACATTACATTGTTCTAGTCCAGCAATGGGCAAACTACGGCCCGGCGGACCTTTTAATCCGGCCCGCGGAGTGTGATAAAAAAAAAAAAAAAACAGCCAGGGCAGGCAAACATTGGCTGTCAGGATGTGTGTAGGCGGGGCAGCGTGACGAACGTGAGGGGAGCTAGGCTCCTCTCACAGTCCGCCCTGAAGACCGGAACGGCGCGGGAACACGGCGAGAGGAATGCGCGGAGCAAAGGTAAGTAAATTGACACAGGGGGGACTTGGCTTACTACTTGGGGGGGAATAGTACTATGGGGGATAATGGAAATGTCTTGCGAGCCAGAAAGTAGACAAAAACTCCTTATAAATGCACTCTATTAATGGATCGCAAACCTATAGCACATAACTACCAATGTGATAGACCGCAAAAATAAAATATATAGTGTTGCGCTCCCAAACCTCAAATCAATATATTATTATTTGAATTTGATCTCTATTTTAAAGATTTCAGTAATTAAGAATGATGTGTACGAATAAACTTATATACTAATATCTTATACTTTGAATTAATGCAAATAATTAATGTGCATGAAAAAATTAAACTGCAAATAAATAACAAAAATAAAATATAAAAATAAAAATAATAAAAAATAATAAAAAATAAAAATAAAAATAATGTCCCAAAAAAGTGACTTTGTGCTGGAAAATCTTCAATTTACAATGATTGGTGACTGCTTGTGAATCCTCCCTCAAGTGAAGATGTGCGCTCACCTCATAAGAAGCCTGCAATTAGGCTATATAAACTTGTGGTTCACCTCCTTTGGAACCTGCTTGTTTAGAACTCCCTGCTTTAGGATATCCATGGTGTGCAACATATGCTATGGGATGAATCTCCTCTCCAGCGGGTGCAATTCGTCTATTTTTTCATCTCCATACGATTCACCTCATATAAAAGATAAAGCACCATGTCGAGATCTATTTGTATGAGGTGAATCGTATGGAGATGAAAAAATAGACGAATTGCACCCGCTGGAGAGGAGATTCATCCCATAGCATATGTTGCACACCATGGATATCCTAAAGCAGGAGTTCTAAACAAGCAGGTTCCAAAGGAGGTGAACCACAAGTTTATATAGCCTAATTGCAGGCTTCTTATGAGGTGAGCGCACATCTTCACTTGAGGGAGGATTCACAAGCAGTCACCAATCATTGTAAATTGAAGATTTTCCAGCACAAAGTCACTTTTTTGGGACATTATTTTTATTTTTTATTATTTTTTATTTTTATATTTTATTTTTTTTGTTATTTATTTGCAGTTTAATTTTTTTCATGCACATTAATTATTTGCATTAATTCAAAGTATAAGAATATTAGTATATAAGTTTATTCGTACACATCATTCTTAATTACTGAAATCTTTAAAATAGAGATCAAATTCAAATAATAATATATTGATTTGAGGTTTGGGAGCGCAACACTATATATTTTATTTTTGAGTACTATGGGGGATGAAATACTATATGAGGGATGAATTACTATAGGGGGGATGAATTACTATATGGGGGATGAATTACTATGCTTACTATGGGGAATATTACTATACTTACTATGGATGGCATGGTAGTGGCTGGGCCAGCCAGCAGCTAGTGGGGGGCATAAAAGTTTTGTAAAATAACTTTTTATGCTTCTCTACCTTAAATTAATCTAAACATTTAATGTTACAAATTTTAATTTATATTAATTCACACATAGACTTCATTCATCTACTCTTGGTCCGGCCCCTGGGTCCAATATATGAACCCATTGCGGCCCTCAAGTCAAAAAGTTTGCCCACCCCTGTTCTAGTCCATAGGAGGTGTACAGGGGTGGGGAGGAAGAGGTTAATTCTGTCTGATTGCGCCAACACTGAGGATAATTGGACTGGCCACTTTAGTATCTGTTAATTTAGTTTTTTTAAAGCTGAGCTGCTGAGAAATAATAATAAGATTATTCTAGCATAGAGAGAAAACTATTCAATCTCAGCTCACTTAAGGAGAAAGGTGACTACTCAATGAAGTTGGATAAGAAGCAATTTAATCTTTGTAGGGAGTTCTTTACGGTTCGAGTGGTAAGGATGTGAAACTCCCTTCCACAATCAGTGGTGTCAGCGGGAAGTGTCAATGTAAAACAAAAAAAAAAATTTAGATTGGCATCTTAGTGAACACATACCCACACAGGTTGAACTGGGTATACCTGTATGTTTTATTCAACCTTACAAACGAAAAACTTATGGGACCCAAAATCATAATGAACCATGTTCCTGCCCATTACCTTGGTTCTCCTATAGAGCATCCTGGAACCCAAGCAAGCCAGGACACATGCCTATGAAATCAGAGGCCAGTTTCTCTGGTCTTTGACTCATCCCAGTCCCCTCTTACCTCCCACCTTCCAGCCCATTACTCTGGTAGGTAATCTTATCAACCAATAGTAAAGCACAAGAGGTTAAAGGGCTGAGGCAAAAAGGACCACACAAGCTGCCTTCAGTTGACATGTCATAGCAAATCTTTTCTTTCTGGAGTCTAAGGCAACATGCAGACACAGTGAGGTGCCTACTGTTTGTTTCGCTTTTCTTCGTATACATTGAAATATGAATGTATTTCAGAGAGCGGCTGGTATACTTACTGGATTTGTCTTTTTATCAGCTTCCCATAATCTCCTGCACAGCAGAACTCTAAGGAAGGGGAGGCCAGCTGTGTCCAATCCTATTTACTGTTGTGGAGCTCACAGCTATTAATTTGCAATGGTGCAGCTATTCCTTCAGTGTTCACACAAACAGGTTGTGGGAAGGAGGTGACACCACTATTTCTTAGCTGTAAAAGAGAGCTGTCACTCTTTTGGTTGAACTATCCAGCAGGGGTTCCAGGATGTCAAGAAATGGGCATAGGACAAATATTATGTAAAGTAAAGAATTTACATACAGTGTGTGTGTGAGGGAGTTAAAAACTAGAGCAGCTGTGCATGGCAACGAAACCGCTTCTATCTTCAGCTTGATCAGTTAAGCATTGACTATGAAGCTAGAACCTGATTGGTTGCTCTAGATTCTGGCTGCTCCTGTTTAGAATTTCCTCAGTATATTTTTTTTAAGGTGTGACTTTAGATGAATGGATTTCAGGTTCTCTATTTCCATGTGTCTTTCTAGTCCCTAAGGTGCAGTTTGCAAATGATGACAAGCACCTCCTTGCCTGCTGTTCTCTGGATGGTACAATATCGGTTTGCCAGCTGGTACCAACACCCCCCACAGTGCTGCAGACTCTGCGAGGACACACAGGTGCAGTCAGTGACTTTGCCTGGTCATTATCCAATGATATCATCGTGTCCACCTCCCTGGATGGCAGCATGCGCATATGGAACACCCAAGATGGCCGCTGTATACGACAGATCCCTGACCCTGACTCTGCACAGATGCTGTGCTGCACTTTCCAACCAATCAACAATAATCTCACTGTGGTGAGTACAACATAGCCATCCCTCTGCCATTGTGGGTGGAGACTTTCTATTCTCTAAGATTAGGGATTATAGTTTATACTGCCACCTACAGGTGGATTGGACACTGGCAACCCCTCTAAAAAAAAACTAAAGGATAACTCCTACTGCCAGCATGTCTAAGTTTGGTAACATAGCAATACTTCGTACATGATCATAAACAGAGAAATGAAACCAGCATCTCGTAACAGACTGTAAAAAAAGCATTTTACAGTAATTACAAAAATACTATTTCCTTTCCTGTCCATTGGGGGAAGACCGTAAATATTTAACCTTTAGGGGAACCAAAAGCAGTCAAAACTGGGGGATGGTTAGCACAGCAAAGAAACACCAACATGCCTAGGGGAAAAAAAATTAAATCTATGTTCGCCTGCAGCTCAAAGAACTATCCAAAACTGGCAGAACGAGAGATAGCAACCTTATAGAGTGACACTAGACTTTAAGCCTTCATGAGATCCAAAAGCAGTCTCACGGGGGGGGGGGGGGGGGGTCTGAAAGAATGGAAAACAAATGGGGACTGGCTCAAAGAGCCACCACTAGGACCTTATGTCTGCAGCCCAAATCAGATGAGGCCTGAACATCCACCTGGTAGAGCATGTGAATACATCAGGGTGGTAGTCTGGATGAAAGTCCCTGACGTTTTCATAGATCCAGCAGAGTGGGTCTTGACAGGAAAGCATAGAACTCAAACCTTCAGACAACAAGCTTGGATTATGGCCTGCTTGAGCCCCCTGGAAATGCCAGTATGAGAAATGACTTCAACCTTACCAGCTCACGTCATTTAGGATTACAGAAGGAAATTTGTCTTCCTGAAAGAAGTGGTGCCTGGGAGGCTCTTGCAGTGTGAACTACATCAAGACAATGGAGGGAAGTTTCACTTCCCAAAGTTGCGCAATTTCCAGTGCAAGTTTGATGCCACTTTTATGCTACTATACACTCTCTTTCACACTCAACTGGCATCAAAATAGTGCAGAAATCTTTTTTTTTTAAAAGTCACTGTAATGTCATTCACATAGATTGGAATAGGTGCCATTGACATAAATAAGCTGCAACTGGTCATGCAACTTTGTTTCCAAAGTCACACAGTGTGAATGGAGCCTTAACATTACCTGTCCTTATGCAAAACTAGAAAGGGGTCCTTGCAAGTCAAGGCTGCCAGTTAAGACCATTTCGGTGCAGAAGTGATAACGACAAAAACATCACTTTATGGGTGAGAGTAGAGAGAGCAATGATACTAATAAATTCAAACAGGGCAGAAACCTGACCCTTGTTAGTGACAAAGTCCTGCTGCTGCTCCTTTCCCATGGAGAAACTCCTGGGGTGGATGCCTGAGACTTACACCAAGTGAAATATGCCTCCCTTGTCCAACAATAGACCTTGCAAAAAGTAGACTTTCTAGCTTTAGCAAGTATCCATTGCTTCTGCTAGATCAGGGGTGTCAAACTGGTGGCCCTCCAGCTATTCAGAAACTACAAGTCCCATCATGCTTCTACCTTTTGGGAGTCATGCTTGTAACTCAATCTTGCAATGCCTCATGGGACTTGTAGTTTGGCAACAGCTGGAAGGCCGCCAGTTTGATACCTGTGTGCTAGAGGATCTACATCCCCCACCTGTGACACAGGTCTTAGAACATCTGCAGGTATAGAGACCACTTCCCAGGATGTAGGCACTGACAAGGCTGAAGGGTAGAATTCTGCCTAGGACAGGATCCAATCTACATCCTTCACCGTGGCAAGGCTTCTGGTTTATCCCAGGTGCACCCGAGAAGCTAAAAGGGGAAGCTACATCTGGTAGTGCAGGGTCTCCGTCCCCATGGTAATGGGAAGAAATCACTGATCCATGGACATCCATACAAGGTAGAAAGTTTTCCCGGTGAAAGGAGGTGTTTGATAGATTTCCTGCAGTTTCTGGACACAAATGAAGAGATTCAGAGGTTTGAGATCCAGAATGAGAGAATTGCCCCCTTTGGGCTTGGGAACAAACAGCTTATCAGGTTGTTTCTAGTCTTTATAAACAGCTGAAAAATAAATAGGGTGCAGAAGGAAAGTCTGCAGCCCTACAAGTTTTAAATAATCCAAAGGCCAGAACCAGCACTGGCCAGTCATCTAGTTTTAGAGGGGTGCAGGAAAGTGGTTCCAGACACACCTGATCTGAAACATAAAAAGAAAAAAACAATTTAATTTTTTTTTACGTTTGAGTGTTTTTGGAGCTTCAAGCTACAAATCACTCAAGTGTGACTGCAGTCTTAGGGTCTAGAATCAGACTTGTTTTGACTGTAGTAAGGCATCATGTAAACTCAGGGTAAGGTTAGGCCCTCAGATATTCACAAAACACGGACCGCTGGTAACAGGTAAGAGTTGTATAGCAAGAGGTGACCAGTGTCACTGTAGGAGGGCAACAGGAGCAGATCGAAGTGCTGCATGGCTCTTTGCAAGCAGAAACAGCAGCAGGGTGATGCCTCAACACTGTACGGCAGGAAAGAGCATGCGTTCACACCACTCCACTCAGCTCATGATGCAAGCACTCAGCCCTATGACATTAACCCCTTCCATGGCAAAAACAGGGAATTAAGGCATCCAATCACAAGTAATTGAAGGAATACACTCAATTTTACCAGAACTGGTAAAACTGAAGTCTGGAAAACACCCTTAATGGAACAGTGGCCAAAGGATATTCCTAGACTATGTGCAGACCTGGTCCCCTGAAATGCAGATAGCGATTGACCATGATAGAAAGCTGCAATCAACAGCTGAAACTTTAGGAGCAATAGAGAAGTCTCAATTGAAGAAGAAAAAAAAAAAAAAAAAAAAAAACGAAAAGAAAAAAAGAAGATGCTAGGAGGAAAAAAAAAAGGAATTCTTAAAGCAGAGCTGTAGAAAAGACATCCATCCTCTTGGCACACTAGCACAAGCCATGTTGGTAATGAGAAGAGTCATCAGTGCTGGCATACCTGTAGGTAGCAGTATAACCCGAAGTTTAAAGGCTTCCTGTGTCGCTCCAATGGGCAAATTTTTTTTTTATTTAAAGAGAACCCTGGGTCAGTGTTTCTTTGATAAAAGGTGATGTTACCAAACCCAAAAGGAGGTATATTAGATCGGATTCTAGAAGCCCTAAAGGGGCTTTAGTTAAATATCTTCATAACAAGATAATCACTGTCATAAAAAAGTTAGATTACTCGCTCTCTGAAAAAAAATCTAAGTTTTTGTAAAAGTGATTTTTTTTTTTTTTTTTTTTTATATACCTAATGACTATACTTGACTCATCCTACATGACCAGACTAGTCTCATTTCTGGCCAGCTGTTGTCATAGTCTCGTTCACAATAGATTGAGACTACCTGTATCATGTCTTAATTGTTATTTCTACTCCTCCAATGTGGAAACAACATGGAATTAGTAACATTTTCACGCAAATGTCTTCATAGACTATGAAGATGTAACACTTATGACATTACCTTGTTACTCTCCTCTCTTTCAGGTTGGTAATGGGAAACATAATGTCCATGTTATGAACATATCCACAGGTAAAAAAGTGAAAGGAGGCAGCAGTAAGCTGACAGGCCGAGTACTGTCCCTGTCCTTTGATTCTGCAGGCCGTATACTATGGACTGGTGATGATCGTGGGAGTATATACTCATTCCTTTTTGACATGGCTACAGGTGAGCAAGAGCTACTGCAGGGACATCCACAGCAGACCAGTGGCTGTATTATAAAAACAGGAAAGAGTAAGGTGACAGGATTTTCAAAATGATAATCAGGAACACCCTAAAACCAAGCAAAGCCTGCTACACCTGTGCAGCTGCAGAAAGCACCATATCTTTGCAGAATGGGGAGAAGTCTGTGGCATAGAAGAAGCACATAACTTCTCCAGCACCCCCATACCTCTCTCCGTACAGATAATTTACCAACATACTCATGTGACAGGTCATGTCTCAGGCTGCATTTAGAGGTGGCTGCCAGTAAAGGGCTCTCCAGTCAGAATCCAGTTCAGTATACTAATGGCACAAAGTGTCGTTGCTCCTGATTTACTTAAGTATCCAAGAGGAGGAGTAGATGGGTCCTGTTGTGAATATCTACTCCCTTGTCCTGGCTCTGTACTATAGTGTAGTGTTGACTTACCCGCTTAAGGTTCAGATGTGCATTGCAGGTCACCAATTAGGAACAAGGTGGCAAATAATCCATATCCTAATCTCCCATTAAAGAGTCTACAAAAGTCAAGAAGGGAGGAACTGGATAGGCCATGCAATATCAAAATGTGACATCATCAGACACACCCCTTCCCTCCCTCCTCTTGCTCCAGGTCAATCACAGAAATGTTGCTAAGATTGCTAACCCCACAGCTGCCTGGGATAAGGATACGATCACCTTTTGTAACATTACACCCATATTCACAGTGTAAGACGTTACAATTGTACTGGCCCCCGATTTTCTTCTCCTGCTTGCTGTCACAATAAAAAAAAACAAAAAAAAAAAAAAAAAAAAACACACAACACCACATACGGCTGTGCAGGGCTCCACCTGTGTCACCCGTTCACTGTGTTCTCTGAATGGGAAGACTACAAGTCCCAACAGCCTTTGCAGCTGTTGGCTTGTAGTTCTCAAACTACAGTGCATCCAGAAAGTATTCACAGCGCTTTAACTTTTGCTACATTTTGTAACGTTACAGCCTTATTCCAAAATGGATTAAATTCATTTTTTTCTCCCCTCAACATTCTACAAACAATACCCTAAAATGACAATTTGAAAGCAGTTAGTTTTTAAATCTTTGCAGATTATTAAGGGCCGGTTCACACTATAGAAATGCAGTCCAGATGCGTTCGGGATGTGTGTTTTTCATGTGCATTTGACGCGTTACAGTTAATTTATTACTCTTATTCTTCAATTTAAATAGGGACATGTGCATTCTACCACGTTCCAGTACAGTTCTGTGAATAAAAACAAATGCAGCATGTTCTACTTTTTTTTTTTTTTTCTGCAACTGGACCTGCAAGCACTGATGAGAACTATGACATTGACAAACATATAATCTACTTTGTGTGCTTTGGATGCAGAAAAAAAAAGCAACTGAAACACGTAGTGTGAACTGGCCCCAAAAATAAAAAACAAAAAAAAAACCCCAAATGTACAAAAGTATTCACAGCCTTTGCTCAATACTTTGTTGAAGCACCTTTAGCACCAATTACAGCCTCAAGCTGTTTAGAGTATGATGCTACAAGCTTGGCACACCTATTTTTGGGGCAATTTGTCCCATTCTTCTTTGCAGTACCTTTCAAGCCTCATCAGGTTGGATGGGGAACGTCGGTGCACAGCCATTTTCAGATCCCCACAGTGAGATGCTGCCACCACGCTTCACTGTAGGGATGGTATTGGCCAGGTGGTAAGCATGACGCTTAGCATTCAGGCCAAAGAGTTTCATCTTTGTTTCATCAGACCCGAGTTTTGTTTCTCATGGTCAGAGTCCCTTAGGTGCCTTTTGGCAGACTCCAGGCGAACTGCCATTTCCCTTTTACTGAGAGGTGGCTTCCATCTGGCCTCTCCACCAATTAGGCCTGTATGGTAGAGTGCTGCAGAGATGGTTGTTCTTCTGGAAGGTTCTCTTCTATCCACAGAGAAACACTGGAGCTCTTTCTGAGTGACCAGCAGGTGCTTGATTACCTCCCTGGCTAAGGTCCTTCTCCCTCGATCACTCATTTTGGCCAGGCGGCACATTCTAGGAAGATTCTTGGTGGTTACAAACGTCTTCCATTTACGGATGATGGAGGCCACTGTGCTCATTGGAACCTTCAATGCTGCAGAAATTTTTCTGTACCCTTCCCCAGATCTGTGCCTTGATATAATCCTGTCTTGGAGGTCTACGAACAACTCTTTGGACTTCATGGCTTGGTTTGGTTTGTGCTCTGACATGCACTGTTAACTGTGGGACCTTAGACATGTTTATGCCTTTCCAAATCATGTCCAATCAACTGAATTTCCCCAGGGATGTTGAATTCCTATCACCCAGGCCCCAGGACATGTAGTTCCGGGGACAGAGCAGGTAGTTTTTTTTTTCTTTACCTTCAGCCCTGCTGCAGGCAAGCACCTGTCAGGTGGAAGCACTTGGGCGGCAGTGCTGCTGCTCAAATACTTCCACACAGTGCTAGCCTCACTGCCCAAATACTTCCACACGATGTGCACTGCATTAGATTTAGGGAGCACAGGGGAGACATACAGGGTCTTTTAGACCCGGGATGCCTCAATAAAGAGAACCTGTCACCAAAAAATCATCACATAGGGGACACTGTCGCCTATGTGATGAAGGCAACATTTTTTTAAATTGTAAAAAATGAAAGTTACACCCAAGCACATAACGTCCCCCACATATACACACATACAAACGTAAAAGCACACGCTGGAGCACCTACGCATGAAAACGTAGATTGCAATGCACATTACATATCAATGTGCACGCCAGAATGAGAGAGAGCATTCTGGCACCAGACCTCCTCCGTAACACTATACTGATGACCTAGAAGGGGCTTTAAAAGCATCACCTATAGAAAATATAGGATACTAAAGTTCATCGCCATTTCACGAGTGCACGCAAATTTAAGGTTTGACAAGCTGGATATCTATTTACTTGCTGCAACCTCATCTTTTATATTTTACCAAAAAAAAAGGGTAATTATTGCTTTTTTGTGCCCTAAAATTAACTTTTACTGAAATTTTGCAGTAATATCATGCAACATAAATAATTGGAACTACCACTATTTTATTCTCTAGGGTCCTTGCTTTCAGAAAATATCATGTTTAGGGGTTTTGTGTAATCTTCAGGCCTAAAATGATTTATTTTTTTTAATCTTATGCTAAAACGGCTCTGGAAGCAAAAGGGATAAAGGATAAGCTGTACACTCCCCTTTCCTGACAAGCACCCAATCAGTGCTCTTTACACTGCAAGGTCTCTCAGCTCCTTGCTAGTCCCAGAGTGCAGTGCTGAAGACAAGCAGGGAAGGGAGGAGATAAACAGCGCAATGTTAAAAATATTAAAAAGGGGTTTTATGGTGACTTAAACGTTTGTTTATAAAACATTTCTAATATTACCACCGATTTAAATATGGTTTTGGTTAAAAAAAAAAAAAAAATGTATCTGGAGAAGTAGATTGGGACATCGATTTAGTCCCTGGACAAGTAGTTTATTAAAAAATTTCCACACCCCTGGTATTTCCCACAAGTGGACTCCAAGTTGTGGAAAAATCTCAAGAATGAACAGTGGGAAGAGGATGCACCAGAGCTCAATTTTGAGTGTCATGGCAAAGGCTGTGTATACTTATGTGCATGTGTTTTTTTTTTTTTTTTTTTTTATTTTTAATAACTTGCAAAGATTTCAAAACAAATGTTTCACGTTGTCATTATGGTACGGTTTGTAGAATGTTTTGGGAAAAAAAAATGTATTTAATCCATTTTGGAATAAGGCTGTAACATAACAAAATGCATCAAAAAGTTAAGCACTGTGAATACTTTCTGGATGCACTGTACCACAGCTCTGTTAAGCTGCTGTGATAGTTAATTGATTCTTCCCGTCAGTGTAAAACAGTCTGCTCGTATGAGGTACTGTTAAGCACCATGGTAGTCCATTGATTCTTCCTGTCAGTGTCAAACTGTTTGCTCGTAGGAGGTACAACAGAAAGATTACACTGACAGTCAGCAGGAGACCTGAATGGCACCAGCAATCTGCCGATTGCTGGTGCAATACTTTCAGGGCTCCTAAAACAAAAAAAATAGTAAAAAAAAGGTACATTTTTATTTTTTACCTGCAATGTACTTTTTTTTTTTTTTCCCCCCAAAGCTGAACTATCCATTAAAGCTGGAAAGCAATCAGGGACACATTCTTTTAGACACAGACAAAATCAGGTACTGTCCCAGAAAACTTCTGGTCACCCTAGAATCCTATTGTCCAACATGCGGCCATTGGGCACCAGTCAAACTGCAGAGTGGCAGTAGGGTGCCAAGCGCTGGAACATTCCAGCACCGACACTTAAAAAGAGATGATACTATGGATGGAGTATCTCTGTCCATAGTACAAGCCCCAGACTAGGGAGAGAGTGTGTTGCATGGGAGCTTGGGATGGGCAAGTGATTAACAATAGGGTGGCCGTTAACATTTATACTGCCATGACCACCAGTGCATGAGGGGTGACGGACATGTTCACTGCAGTGCCCCCAAAATGTGAGGGGTTAACACTTTTACTACCATGTCCACCAGTATAGGGGGGAGGGTTGTCACTGCTATGATCACCAATGCAGTGGCGAAGGGGTTAACCATTACTGCCATGACAACAGAAACGGGGGTGGGAGGGGTTAATGTGCCATGACCCCCAATGCAGGGAAGGGATGAAGGTTAACTCTCACTACTAATGACCACCAATGTGTGTGCATGTTTTTTAGTACATCCTCGTATTGAGGTGGTTATACCAGGATCCCAGCATAGTGTTTTAGTTATTTTTTTTTTTTTTTTTTTTAATAGCAAGCGCTTCTGCAGAATGTAAAAGTAATCTGAGCAGCCATACAGTCACCGATCACGTTTAGAGGTGGCAGAAGGGGGTCTCTCATCAACTTGAGGAGCCCTGTAAGTATGTGGCCGGCGAAAACGGCTTTCCCGGACACAGTGAGAAAAACTGATGCTGTTCCTCTCACTGTGTGATGTCACAAATGAGGATTTAATCACTTCAGGTTTGGGGTAAACAAGCCATTATCAGCTTGTGAAAACATCTGATCAAACCAGTCACAGCCCGTGAAAACATCTGATCAAACCAGTCACAGCCCTTGTTCATCCCTTGTGATAGCAATAAAGTTGAAAAATTAAAACACCCCCATCCCACACACAAATGTGAATGTGTACGTAGGTCCTATATGTATACGGTGATTGTACCACATGAAAGGTTTCGCCATGTATGTCAGAATGAGGGCAATAATTTTAGCACCAGACCTCCTGTGTAACTCTAAACTGGTATCCTGTAAAGGCTTTTAAAGAATCGCCTACGGATAACTTATTGTATTGTAGTTTGTCGCCATTCCACAGACGTACGCAATTTTAAAGTGTGACGGGTTTGGTTTATATTTACTCAGAGTAACATCTTATATTTTACAAAAAAAATGGAAAAAAAAAAAAAGTTTGTTCACTAAAATTCACGAAACATTTTTCTAAAAAAAAAAAAATATATATATATATATATATATATATATATATATATATGCGATTGAAAAACCATTGCAGAAATACGGTGCGACATAAAAATTGCAGCACCAACCATTTTATTCTCTAGGGCCTCTGGTTAAAAAAAAAAAAAAAAAAAAAAAAAAAGGATTTTTACATGTATCAGAATTGGCCTGGTAGGCAAATGGTTAAATATAATAATCATTCCTTGCAGGCAAAACTGACTAAAGCCAAACGTCTGGTAGTTTCGGAAGGCAGTGCCATAACCAGCATATCTGCCCGTTCATGGATAAGCCGTGAGGCTCGGGATCCTTCTTTATTAGTAAATGCTTGCATCAACAAACTGCTGCTGTATAGGTGAGTCTGCAAAATTTTACATTTTTCTTTTCTTTAAATATGGGATACAGTAAACTTGCCATGAATCTTAACAAGATTCAAATTCTCAGAGGTTTTAGACAATATAAAATGTGCACCTCCCACATGAAATTTATAAGACCCATGCAGCTTTACTTTAAATTCTATAATTAGGGCTGGTGTTGACGGCCTTGCAACAGGCCATTTGAGCACGACCTGCATTGGGGCATGCTCAGTGCAGTCAGATCATATCTCCAACCACTATTACTAAGGTTTATGAACCTAAGCAGTAGCAGTCTTGAGACCTTTGTGCACATCTGCATTTGGCTTTTCTACCAAGAGCAGCAAATAGGAGCATGTGCAATGTAGATGATTTGCGCTGCAGTCAACTAAACAGAATAAGCACAGGCAGGGCTCAGATGACCTCTTAAAAGGATCATTATTCCTGTATTACAGCACAAGTCAACACATGGCAGACCTTCAAGCACTGACCATATATGAATGACAATGCCAGAACCTACACTTAAAGTAGTAGTGGGGTTTTTTTTTTTTGCATAACAGGATCCTTTTAACAGGGCCAGTGTGTTTTTGTTTGTTTATATATTGCTTTCAGGCTGAGAGTTTGTCAATACAAAAACTTAGTTACCACAATATGCCTCAGCCAAAAACAAAAAACTGGCCATTATTCTAACAAATGGCTTGCAAACTTGTCCAAAGCTGGACCAAACAGCAAGAAATAGGAAAGGGGCTTATGTGTAACTTTTTTTTTTTTTTTTTTGCATGGTTTAGAAAACTTCATCTGCCAACATACACCAATTGTGAATGCTAGATTTGTTTTCTTTTAATCAAAGTATACAGTTCTCTAATCTCCCTTTATTATTTCCAGGGTTGTGGATAATGAGGGAACACTACAATTAAAACGTACTTTTCAGATACAACAAACCAACAATGCCATCCGGAGTATTTTCTGCCCCCTCATGTCATTCAGGCAAGGAGCCTGTGTTGGTATGTACATTCTAGAAAAGTAAAAATTCTCTGCACCAGTCTTGTATTATGCCTCATTTTACCAAACAAACAAAAACCTCCAAATTGTAACTTTGTGTAGAATAGAGTGCCCCAGCTGATCACTTTCATTTAGCTTTGTGTTTTCTTCTAAATTTGAGAAAGGCCTAGCAAGCCACATCATGCTCATTTTAGGCCAGTTCACACTAGATGCACTCCAGTGCATTTTTTCTGTATCAAAAATGCGTGCACAGTGTTTTCCAATGGCCCTAGTTTACACCAGTGAAGATTATTAGGAGAAAAAAAAAAAAAAAAAAAAAACGAACATGCTGCATTGATTTGACACAGCACTGTACTGGAACACAGCAAAATGTATCAAACACACCGGAACGGAGTGTGGTGTGAACTGTAAGCAAAAATGCATCCGGAGTGTGTTTTTGTGGTATGAACAGGCCCTTAGGGCTAGTTCACACTAGATGCAGTCCGGTGTGCGTCAAAAATGCATGCAGTGTTTTCCAATGGCCCTGGTTCACACCAGTGCAGGAAAAAAAAAAAAGCTGCATTTTTTTCCTGCATAGAAGTGTACTGGAACATAGCAAACTGCAATGGAACCCAACGTGGTGTGAACTGTAAGCAAAAACTTATCCAGAGTGCATTTTTGTAGCATGAACTGGCCCTCAATGAGAAAGATGAGATCTCTAGCATGCTACATCATTTAAATCCACTGTACATTCAACACATCCACAATTGCTCCCTATGTGCCCTGTTCACTCCACAACACTGCTATCAGATTTTTTTTTTCTGCGCAGGAATCTGCAACATGTATTTAGTTTTCTGGGAGGGGAACCGGACGTGTTGTCAATACTGTGCGGTGAAGATGGCACATAAACTGATGTGAACATACAGAAATGTGCATGAAATAAGATGTAAACTCCTGTCTCTGCAAGTGAAATCTCTGCAGTTTTCATGCAGGTATGGTGTGAATGAGCCCTAGAGTGCATAGTGCACATAAACCAGCATGGTGACAAGGATGCTATGACTTATTGGTGGTTAGTGTTTCACCATTCTGACACTGATCTGTGCAGCTGACATTTTTTGCTTTGGTACAGTATAAGAATCTCGCATAACAAGTGCAGATAAAAACAATCATTTTCATGCTTTACAGCATATTCTCCCAGGGTTGTAGGGATGCCAGCCTACTACTGTGATTAAGTACACTCAGCACTGGTTGTATCTGCACCTGCTATGTGAGCTTGTTATACCTTCATGAGACTGCGATCATTTGCTTATGCATAGACCAAGCAGTTAATTTTGGTTTGTAAGAGGGGGCTGTGGTAGAAGATATGAAGGCAATTAGAAGGGAGATAGATGTAGGACTGATTCCAAGTATTAACACTTTTGGAAAAGAGAAGTAGCTAGTGACCTACTAAGCCTTGTATGTTCTCTTCTACAGTAACTGGCAGTGAAGATATGTGCGTTTATTTCTTTGATGTGGAACGGGCCACAAAGGCCATTGTAAATAAACTACAAGGACACAGTGCAGCCGTCCTGGGAATAAGTTTCAACTGTGACGAGAGTCTACTGGCCTCTAGTGATGCAAAGGGGATGGTCATTATCTGGAGACGGGAACAGAAGTAACCTCTCTTTTATCTTTATGGTCAGAACTGAGCCCTCTTCCCCCACCAATATCACTGACTTCTATTTATATTTCCTGTATGTCTTATGAATAAACTCTAACCCCTGCTAATATCTGTAAGGAAGATCATTATGTAAATAATCCACAATATACTGCCAACTCAGCTTTCCATTTTAAAATTTTTTGCATGTAGCTAGAAGACAAACAGGGTTTGTAAGATGTAAACTTAGGTGCAGAAGAAGAAAAAAAAAAAAAAAAAAAAAAAAACACCATGCCCGATACTGGTGGAGTTACACCGCATGCACTGGGAACAGATAATCATCACAGAAAAGTCAGGCATAGTTAGGAGATGGAGGGAGGGAGAAGATGGAGGGAGAAACCAGACCAATGAGAGAGGGGGAAAAAAAAAAAAAAAAAAAAAAAAAAAAAAAAAAAAAAAAAAAAAGGAATTGTATTCCTGCCTCAAGTCACATTCAAACCAGCATCTCTTCATGCTGTATAGAAGTACATTCTATAGGACCTGGTGTGTAGAGGGTTCAGGGCAAGCATGTACACAACTGTGGTCTGAATGAACCCAATGGACTTTTGTACAGTCAGGTCCATAAATATTGGGACATCGACACAATTCTAACATTTTGGCTCTATACACCACCACAATGGATTTGACATGAAACGAACAAGATGTGCTTTAACTGCAGACTGTCAGCTTTAATTTGAGGGTATTTACATCCAAATCAGGTGAACGGTGTAGGACTTACAACAGTTTGCATATGTGCCTCCCACTTGTTAAGGGACCAAAAGTAATGGGACAGAATAATAATCATAAATCAAACTTTCACTTTTTAATACTTGGTTGCAAATCCTTTGCAGTCAATTACAGCCTGAAATCTGGAACGCATAGGCATCCCCAGACGCTGGGTTTCATCCCTGGTGATGCTCTGCCAGGCCTCTACTGCAACTGTCTTCAGTTCCTGCTTGTTCTTGGGGCATCTTCCCTTCAGTTTTGTCTTCAGCAAGTGAAATGCATGCTCAATCGGATTCAGGTCAGGTGATTGACTTGGCCATTGCATAACATTCCACTTCTTTCCCTTAAAAAACTCTTTTTGTTGCTTTTGCAGTATGCTTTGGGTCATTGTCCATCTGCACTGTGAAGCGGCGTCCAATGAGTTGTGAAGCATTTGGCTGAATATGAGCAGATAATATTGCCCGAAACACTTCAGAATTCATCCTGCTGCTTTTGTCAGCAGTCACATCATCAATAAATACAAGAGAACCAGCTCCATTGGCAGCCATACATGCCCACGCCATGACACTACCACCACCATGCTTCACTGATGAGGTGGTATGCTTAGGATCATGAGCAGTTCCTTTCCCTTCTCCACACTCTTCTCTTCCCATCACTCTGGTACAAGTTGATCTTGGTTTCATCTGTCCATAGGATGTTGTTCCAGAACTGTGAAGGCTTTTTTAGATGTCGTTTGGCAAACTCTAATCTGGCCTTCCTGTTTTTGAGGCTCACCATGGTTTACATCTTGTGGTGAACCCTCTGTATTCACTCTGGTGAAGTCTTCTCTGGATTGTTGACTTTGACACACATACACCTACCTCCTGGAGAGTGTTCTTGATCTGGCCAACTGTTTTGAAGGGTGTTTTCTTCACCAGAGAAAGAATTCTTCATTCATCCACCACAGTTTGTTTTCCATGGTCTTCCGGTGTTGCTGAGCTCACCAGTGCGTTCCTTCTTTTTAAGAATGTTCCAAACGGTTGTTTTGGCCACACCTAATGTTTTTGCTATCTCTCTGATGGGTTTGTTTTGTTTTTTCAGTCTAATGATGGCTTGCTTCACTGATAGCGACAGCTCTTTGGATCTCATCTTGAGAGTTGACAGCAACAGATTCCAAATGCAAATAGCGCACTTGAAATGAACTCTGGATAAACTCTTATCTGATCATTGTAACTGGGATAATGAGGGAATAACATACACCTGGCCATGGAACAGCTGAGAAGCCAATTGTCCCATTACTTTTGGTCCCTTAACAAGTGGGAGGCACATATGCAAACTGTTGTAATTCCTACACCGTGCACCTGATTTGGATGTAAATACCCTCACATTAAAGCTGACAGTCTGCAGTTAAAGCACATCTTGTTCGTTTCATTTTAAATCCATTGTGGTGGTGTAGAGTCAAAAATGTTAGAATTGTGTCGATGTCCCAATATTTATGGACCTGACTGTCATTTACTGGGGCATCAATTCCTTTTGATTATAGATCCCCTCTTACACCAAGTATTAAACAAATGTCACTTTACATATCCTTTACTCCTCACGTCTGTGGTACTAAACTGCATTTTGAAATAATTTGAGAAAATTCCACCTTGTAATGAATATGCTCAATTTTAACATACGCACTCTTATTTGAGCAGCAGTGGTAAAAATAATGTTTGCCAGTGTGAATGGGAATCTGTCTTTATGTCTATAGGAGAAACATGCAGAGAACAAAAAACTTAGAGCCTGCCACTGGTGGGGACCTACAAAAACCCACACACCTAGTTGCAACCACAAGGCACTCTCATTAAAACCAAAAACTTCAATGTTACTGCCCTGGAACAAACATACAGAACAGGAACATCAGAGCGAAAGTAAAAACTCCCGATCTGCATGCTTTAGAAAGTACTGAAGCCTTTGCAGCCATTTCCACTTCAGTATTTGTTTTGGATTAACTTTCAGTATTACATACAATGATAAAAAAAAAAAAAAGACTTCAGATAAAGGTTATAATGGACGCTGCCATGGGACTTGTTTGGTACTCCTCCCCCACCATTTCATACAACCTACTCCCTACAGTTCACAAACATACATAGAGTGCAGTACAAAGTATTCAGACCCCCTTCATTTTTTTTCAATTTTGTTATGTTGCAACCTGATACAATTGTTTAAACCACTTGCCGCCGGGCGAACACCTCGTCCCTCCAGGAGATCATGATGACGTTCTTCCTGGATCACGCTTTGCAGGTGCCCACAGGGCCACTCTGCGGCACGATCTGTCCCAGGCCATGTACTTCGGACGCGGCCGATGACAGATCTGTGTACCAGCACTGTTGCCTGTACCATGTGACCAATCACAGCAGGTCACATGAGGGTTGTATATAAATGGTTGACTTCCTTTCATGCCATCCATTGTATACAAGTGTGTCTAGCTGTGAATGGTCACAGCGATCACATGCACAGGCTGGGCCAATCACAGCCCATCTGCGTCATGTAATTAGCCGTGGCCAATCACAAAAAAAAAAAAAAAAAAACCCACGATTAATCGATTTCAGTTAAATGCTTGCTTATAGCAAATAAATTCTGTTATAAGCAATCAAATTGTGTAAAAAAAAAAAAACAAAAAACACTGATCACTTCCCCAAAGTAGTACAATGTTACTATAGAAACATTATACTACTTTGGTCATAGTGTACTATGAAAAAAAAAAACATCTTAAAAAAAAAATAAAACAAAAAAAAAAAATATAAAAAATTACAAACTTCAAAGAACTCACCATGCCTCCTATGAAGTACGTCGGACTGTCTACTTTGCAAAAAGGGTCATTCGGGGGATATCTGTACTATTCTGACATTTAAGAAATTAGATTGGCTGTCAGTACTTCAGGATTGATCCCATAGTTTATGAACTCTAACTTTCCTACAGACTAATAAATACGGATTTGGGTTATTTTCACCACAGAAATTTAGCCGAATACATCTTGGCCTAAATTTATGAACAATTATTTACTTGCAAACTTTTATAAACAGAAACAAAAGAAAAAATGTTTTTTTTTTTCTTCCCAAAACGTTTTTTTTTTAATTTAGCAAAAAATAAAAACCCCAATGGTGATTAAATACCACCTAAAGAAAGCTCTAGTTGTGTGAACAAAATGCTAAAATTTTAGTTTGGGTACAGTGTTGCAAGACCGCACAGTTGTCAAAGTGTGAGAGCGCTGAAAATTGGCCTGGGCAGGAAGGGGGTATAAGGGACGATATTGAAGTGGTTAAATTAATTTTTTTTCTCAATGTACACTGAGTACAAGGTGAAAAAACTGAATTTTTAGAAATGTTTGTAAATTAAAAAGAAAAAAAAACTGAAATATTACATGTACTTAAGAATTTAGAGCCATTACTCAGTATTTTATTGAAACACCATTGGCAGCAATTACAACCTGGAGTCTGAGTAAAACGCAAAAATCTTTGCACACCTGGATTGGGGGATTTTCAGCCCTTCTTTGCAAACCGTCAAGCTCAGTCAGGTTGGATGGGGTCCGTCCGTGGGCAGCCATTTTCAGTTCTCTCCAGAGAAGTTCAACTCAGGGATCGGTCTTGGCCCCTGTAGGGCACTCACAGAGTTATCCCTAAAACACTCCCGTGTTGTCTTGGCTGTGTGCTTAGGATCGTTGTCATGTTGTATGGTGAACTTTCGTCTGAGGTCCTGAGTGCTGTGGAACAGGTTTTTTTTGAGGATATCTTTGTACTTTGCTCCTCTGTTTTCCCTCAACTCTGACCAGTCTCTCAGTCCCTGCTGCTGAAAAACACCCCCACAGCATGATGCTGCCACCACCATGCTTCACTTTTGGGATGGAATTCAGCAGGCGATGAGCGGTACCTGGTTTGCTCTACACACACCATTTAGAATTGAGGCTAAATAGTTCAATCTTTGTTTAATCAGACCAGATAAACTTGTTCCTCACAGTCAAGAGACCTTCAGGTGCTTTTTTTGCAAACTCCAAGTGGGCTTTCATGTGTTTTGCGCTGAGGAGAGGCTTTTGTCTAGCCACTCTGCCATAAAGTCCAGATCAGTGGAGTGTTGCAGTGATGGTTGTCCTCCTGGATCCCTGGAGATCAGTCACGGATTCTTGGTCACCTCTCTTACTAATGCTCTTCTCCCTCAATTGCTCAGTTTGGCCAGGTGACACCACTTGAGTTCTGGCTGTGGAAACCATCTTCCATTTGAGAATTATGGAGGTCATTGTGCTCTTGGGAATCTTCAGTACAGCAGAAGTTTTTTTTGTAACCTTCCCCAGTTCTGTGCCGTGCAAAAATCTTGTCTGAGCTCTGCAGGCAGTTCCTTTTGACCTCATGGCTTTTGCTCTGATACAGTATGCATTGCTAGCTGTGAGGTCTGTTTAGAGAAGTGTGTACCTTTCCAAATCATGTCCAATTAATGTACTATACCACAGGTGGATGCCAAATCAGCAATGATCAAGAGAAATGGGAGGCACCTGCGCTAAACTTCAAGTGTTGCTGCAAAGAGTCTGAATACTTATGCCAAAGTAACATTGTTTTTTTTTTTTTTTCATATATTTAAACGTTTCTAAAATTCTGTTTTATCTTGTCATTATGGAGTACGGAGCGTAGATTGAGGAAAAAAATTTTAAATTTAAACAACTATAGTATTAGGCTGTAACATAACATTGAGAAAAAAAAAAAAAAAAAGTGAAGAGGGTCTAAATTAGGGCTGCAACCAACGATTATTTTCATAATCGATTGGCTGGCCAATTATTTCGATCAGATAAAACGTTTGGTGTACAGTTCCAGTATGTAAAGTAATTATTAGATATCTATATGCAGTGGTATATATAAATAATCACCTATATGGTTGGGGAACAAAACATCTAATCTACGACAGACAGAAGAGATATATATATATTATTAGGAGGTTGAATCTTGCACATATCATCAGACTCTGAGATAAAAATTTTAGTTAGGGGGGGAAAAAAAAAAAAAAAAAAAAAAAAAAACTGTTTTGCAGACTTTCCAGACAGGATCGTAATATAATACTCCATTGTCATAGGCAGGTAACTTGATACAAGTTACCTACACCTGCTGTCAATTATGCAGACCATACACAAATTTTTAGTTTGAAAATTGTTTTAAGAACATTCATTGGAATTTCTAATAGTTAGTGGGATCAAATAGACAGTCTCTGACAACGGTGACAGGAAAATTTGAAGGAACAGAAAACTTTATAAAAAAAAACAAAACAAAAATAAACAACTCTGGGCAAAATTTATTTTCCCACGCAGTGCCCGCACTTCATGGGTTTAACTATTCATTTTTGTTTAGATGATCGCAGATACTTGTCTAATCCATCGATCCTCTGAGTACAAGACCAGTCCCTATCACTCCTAACTTCCCCGGCATGCTACCAGTCTTGTGAATGGACTGTTCCTGACATCATGTCTGTAGACCGGCTCTGGATGTGTGGACAGCAGGAACAATCCACCGCTGGACATGGAGTTCAGTTTTCTAGAGGATCAAAGAATCTGGTAAATATAGCTTTTTTTCCTTGCACCCCTGGACAAAATGAGCAGAAAACACATTTTGCCCGGAGTTCTTCTTTAATTATAATGCCTTCTATTACCTCCAGTATATAATCTTCCAGCTTCTCTGGGTTCAAACACTGATGAGATTCTGATCTTCCCTGGACAGAGGCCTTACAGTGATTGTAAACGTCATATTTATTTTATCTATTTTTTTTTAAACTTGTCAGTTACCTGCTCTGTGCAATGGTTTTGCATGGAGCAAGCCGCAAAGTACAGTATAGAGTGCCCCTATAGCAAGGTTAAAAAAAAAAAAAAAACACCTGCCTTTATAATCACTTTCTTCTTCGGCCCAGGACTACATGTCCCACAAAGCTTTGCTCCTCACACATTCACAAGTTCTCAGGCACTTACTGAATTATATGAACAGTGTACCGAGTTGTATGTGTGCTCCACTGTATTTTCTGATATGTAAACGAAGCCCAAGCCTGAATACTTTATGGAAAAAAAAAAAAAAAAAACAATTACACACACACCATTCACTGATGGATGCTAGACCACTGGGTATATATGACTCACTAGGAGATTGAACAGCCATATATACCTAAGTAAGTAGGTGGTTTGACTTCTCCTCTGGGCTATACTTGTACAGCCTGTATCAGGTGAGATTAGCGTCCTAAGGATCTTTCTGGTGTGCAGAGCTGTCCTCTTGTCCACAGTTCACACAAGTGGATGTGGCTACAAGGAATTATTAGCAGTGGTGTGATCTGCCAGATCCAAAAACTACCTGGAGGTTGCCTGCAAGGTGTGATTTTTCCCATCACCTAGGTTTGCTTTTGGATACTCAGTCTATTGTTTTCCCCAAGAAGGGGGAGGGGTAGACAAGATATCAGACTAATTATCTATAAGCCAATATTAACCCAAGTTGTAGGAGCAATGTAAAATATGAAAATATGAAGACCACATGAGAGCAAATGTATCAAGATTTTCCAGCCACACCAAGTAATGCTGCTAGTGAGTGTTCGGATTACATGTTATTGTATTTACATAAAAAGGGTCAGACTTAAAAGGGTTAAAAAAGATAAAACCGTGAATGTAATATGTCATACAATAGTAATCTATAAAAATTCATCTGATTGTTCATTAAAGAAGAGAGGAACACTGAAAATCTGTCCCATAACATGACATCAGAGGCCAGTATGTGTAATTGCAGCCCATCCCAGAAATGTAAAGAGGCCAGGGTGGCAAAAATTCAAGTAAATAAGAAAAAGAAGTCCAGGCTAAATTCATCACTGCAAGTGAGTTATCAGGTAACTACACAAGCCTGGGGGAAAACAAAAAACAAAATAATTCACAAAAAAAAAAAAAAAAATATTTTAGCACCAATTCTCAAAGCCAGGATGGAAGAAGGGAGCCCTAAAAAAAAAGGGGTGTAAACAGCATTTCAAAAAGTAACCGATCTTTCAAGTACTAAGGGCAAAAGCAGTCCCGAGTTGCCTGCCCACAGACAGTAGTAATCCGCATTTAAAAGAGGTATTTACGACAGCTGTTTGTCCCACATTTGCATTCCACTCTTCTGCGTTTTTTTGGAGATCCAGTTAAGCCAGCCAAGCCAAAGTTGGTATCCATTTTTGTACTTTCAACATCAACCGGATCAACTGTAAAAGAAAAAATAAATAACGGGGCTCTGTGACATACCTTTACACTTGATCTTGAGATTTTATGCGAGATGCTGTTAAGTTTCCATTGACAATTTATAATACTGTATGGCCATCAGTTTTTACCACAACCTGTCAGATGAGGGTTATCCTACCGTATTAACCAACTAATTAAAGTGGAACTAAACACTTTTATCCATCTTAGCCTCTGATCTGCAGTTGCCGTGGTGTTGCTCATGTGATGGCACTTGGTATTTAGGCTGAGTACAAGCAACTGTGACCGCTATTATTCATGCCATGCACGTAACTGTTTTGGGAAGCAGTTAATTTGTTGGGTTAGTTCCACTTTAATGCTGTATGACCTATTTTACAATAGTGTAAACAAAATAATGGTGACAAACTATGCTACAGGTTTTTACTTAATTTCAAACTGAGCATCTAATAAACCACATACGTAGAATTATCAGTGTTAACCAAAAAAAAAAAAAAAAAAAAAAAAAAAAAAGGGAGAAGTGCAGGAAGTCTAAGATTGGAAGCTCCAAGAAGCAGGGCCCTCCTATCCCTCTTGTATTAAACTGTATTGCCTCCCGTTATATTGTAAAGCACTGAGCAAACGGTTAGCGCTATACATGTGCTGTATAAGTGAGTGATCACATGACCTCTGATCACTCAGTTCTTGGTCTTTCCTGAGCAGAGTGGTGACTGTCAGTTCTGCCCCTTCAATGTCCGGCTAAGAAGGGGATGGGAGACGCTGTCTTGGGCTCTCAGCAGTGCTGGGAGGCTGAGCCAGCTGCCTGTAAGGCATTTGGGTGAATCATGACATTGTCAGGATCTCTCCAGGGTCTACAGCAGCTCTGAAGTCAGCTGACAACAGGCTCTTTTTTGGGGGGGGGGGGGGGGGGGGGAAACTATCCCAAAATTGTTATAAAAAAAAAAAAACCCCACACTTTTTTTTTTTATTTGGCTGTATATTTCATGCTACTACCATAACCTACCACCAAAGGGCAACCCAAAATAATTTCTCCTGCTCTCGACGATTGCAGCGATACCACATGTATGTTAGTTGTTGTTTGTACCTGTAGTACAGACCAGAAATAGTGTGCAATTTGCTTTTATCCTGCCACGAATTGACATGAAATTTAAAAAAAAAAAAAAAAAAAAAAAAAAAAAAAAAACACAAACTGACACTGACCCAAACACTAACCCTGGCACAGACCTAGATCAAACCTTGATCTAGCCATTTTTGTTTATATATATATATATATATTTTTTTTTTTTTTTTTTTTTTACACATACTTTTTTCCTCTCTGAAAAAAGGACAGAGAGATACAATGCATCTCTCTCCTCCATTCAGAGAGAGAAAACAAGGGGGGCGAGCTTCACAATGACCAACCATGGTGATAGCCAGAGGCTATCACAGCGATCCGGTGGCCTGGAATCTGGAGTACTGGGTCCCGATCATTAGAACGGGACCCGGAGCTCTCGGCGACACCCCGCTCTTTGTACTGGAAGCGTGCCGTGTGGTGCACTCCCAGCAGAAAGTCAGGTAGCAAATTAGCGTCCGACAGAAAAAAGCCCAGGTCTGTGAGGCTGCTAATCTGCATCTGGTCAGCGTTAAGGGGTTAAAGCAAATGGAAAACCTGGCCTTACCCCCTCGTCTTGTTTTGGAGAACTCCCATTGGTCAGAAGCTGTCCATCACAATAAACCTGTAAAGAGGCTCAGCGGGTGAGATGAGTAGCTGAAAAGCTCAAAGTCTGGAAGGGCTATGATACAAGTTCAGCTTCCATGACCCTGGATTTGCCAATTGTTTTCACTGAAAATACCTGCTTGTGCATTTTTACCACCATGTCCAGTTTGAATTGCCCAGTTTAGTAACAAGTTTACATTAACGCATGCGATAACTAGAACATCTATTACATTTTGTGAAAGAAAAGGAATTTACCCTGCATTCTGTAGTCAAATGTGAGCTCTTCGCCGGTACGGATAGTTCGTGTAGAAAAAAACGCAATGCGTGGCAGCCTCTCGTCCTGATTATCAATAAAGACGTTGTATACTTGGAGGTTAGGCTTGCACTGTAGAGGACCATGCAAAGGAATCAGATACACAGTGTATATTTAGCACGCATATTACAGTCTTCTTATGCCAATTATGCCCACTTCTGCTGCCACTATCCCCCACCCCAAATTGTAGGCGATACCATTATTTAAAGCTGAAATGTAGCCTTTTGTTTTTTTCTCCACTATAGCTTTAGAGAGGCAACATTCTGGTAATTAATTAATGCCCCAACATTGTGGCTGCTGGATCCTAGAGAATTTTCACTGCTGACCTTCCCTCTTCCTGTGAATGAACTTCCAACACACAGGGGACTGGGGAGGGTGAGGGCCCCTCTGTTGGAAAGTTCTTTGACCGTTTTCACCTGTAACACAATCTGTGAATGAGGGAGGGAATGCTAGGTTGGGGTTTGTTGGGTGGAGTTTGTGGAAGCACAAAAACAGTACAAGTTACAGTTGTGACCAAAATTATTCAACCCCCAATGCTGTAAAGGGGTTTAGGGACTATAGTGTACATTTGGAATTGTATTCAGAATCAAATCCTACAAGGACGTTGTAACTACCCAAATGCAACTAAAATGACATCAATTGTTTATGTAATACAGTAGTAAATGGTTCTTATGTGGTTTCTTCATTGCCACAATTATTCAACCCCTTAAAGACTACCACTCTGAAGAACAGAGGTTCATACAGGTGCTTTCCATCAGGTATTGAAAACACCTGTGGATGTCACCGCAGCAATCAAGCATAATAAGCACCAATTAGGCAGCTTTAAAATGACTGTGATACTCAGCTCCTTCTAGACATTTACTGGTGTGGTTACAAACATGGTGAAGGCAAGAGAATGGTCCAGGAAGACAAGAGAAGAGGTGATTTCTCTTCACAGGAAGGGCAATGGCTATAAGAAGATTGCAAAGATGTTAAACATACCAAGAGACACCTTAGGAAGCATCATTCGCAAATTCAAGGCAAAGGGCACTGTTGAAACGCTACCTGGTCGTGGCAGAAAGAAGATGCTGACTTCGACTGCTGTGCGCTACCTGAAGCGTAGAGTGGAGAGAAGTCCCCGTGTGACTGCTGAGGAACTGAGAAAAGATTTGTCAGATGTGGGTACAGAAGTTTCAGCCCAGACAATAAGACGCACACTGCGTAATGAAGGCCTCCGTGCCAGAACTCCCAGGCGTACCCCCTTGCTGTCTCCAAAGAATAAGAAGAGTCGACTGCAGTATGCCAAAAGCCATGTGGACAAACCACAAAAGTTGTGGGATAGTGTTCTGTGGACTGATGAAACAAAATTAGAACTGTTTGGGCCCATGGATCAACGCTATGTTTGGAGGAGGAAGAACAAGGCCTATGATGAAAAGAACACCTTGCCTACTGTGAAGCATGGTGGAGGGTCAATCATGCTTTGGGGCTGTTTTGCTTCTGCAGGTACAGGGAAGCTTCAGCGTGTGCAAGGTACCATGAATTCTCTTCAGTACCAGGAGATATTGGATGGAAACGTGATGCAGTCCGTCACACACCTGAGGCTTGGGAGACGTTGGACCTTTCAACAGGACAATGATCCCAAGCATACCTCCAAGTCCACTAGAGCATGGTTGCAGAGGAAAGGCTGGAACATTTTGGAGTGGCCATCGCAGTCACCAGACTTAAATCCGATTGAGAACCTCTGGTGGGACTTAAAGAAAGCAGTTGCAGTGCGCAAGCCTAAGAATGTGACTGAACTGGAGGCCTTTGCCCATGAAGAATGGGCGAAGATACCCGTAGATCGCTGCAAGACACTTGTGTCAAGCTATGCTTCACGTTTAAAAGCTGTTATAACTGTAAAAGGATGCTGTACTAAGTACTAAGATTGAATGTCACTTGGGGGTTGAATAAAACTGATAATGCTGTGAGCACAGAAAAGACATTTGTGGTTATTTCATTATAACTGTTATGTTATATTTGTCTGACCTACAAGTGCCTCTTTAATGTAAATGTAAGCAAGATGACTGAATGATCAAAAGCAATGTCAAACTGGCCAAAACACTCAATTTCAGTGGGGGTTGAATAATTTTGGTCACAACTGTATATTCCACTGCATTTGTGGTCTGTATTTCCTGCTGAACACAACCCATTCAAGTAAATTGGGCCTTGCCACAACCACATGTAATGCATACAGTTGTGGCATGGTGATGTGTGCATTTAGGGGTTAGAACAGGCAGTGAAGAGACATAATGCCTCCCAGCCGGCTTCTAAACAGCAATCCACACTGCAGACCACTCTTCAGCAGGCAAAGCCAACATAAACGAGCCCCAAGGGAGATCACAGATCTCCCATCACTCTACATTCTGAGGCATTCTGCAGTGAGAATGGAAGCCACAGGGTAATAGCCAAGCACATCCAGGTAGGATACCCAACAAAAGTGCACTAGGGATACAAAACATTTATTCATAATTTGCCTGTTGCTTAGTGTTCAACTCCCATATATCACTCAAACATCCCAGAAGCAGAGGTAATACTTACACTGTGGTTGACAAAGTGCGATATATTTCCATAGTGAGCAGCATCTACGGTGTAAACATCTTCAATGTAATCCAGGTCAAACAGATACGTTGCCCCCTGTCTGTCATAGATTTGTCCTCTACGCTCCGCCTCATCAGAAGTGATTATCTGAAATACATACTACATGAGACATCTGCACAGAACACAATTCTTATACATCTATAATATTCTAAAGGAATGAACTGCCAACATGACCAGAAGAAATAAATGCATCCTATGGCTTCGTTACTGGTATACAGCTCATCGCCGGGAAAATATGAGCTTACCACCCCTTTACGCAGACAAAACACAAATATGCAGCTTCACAGAACGGGGCTTTTCCATGGGGTTGCATATTTGTGTACCGGTCTGTGCTGGGAGCGCGCCGCACAGTGAGCTCCCAACACAGACTAGGGTGTCACTGAGAGCCCCGGGTCCAGATCACATGATAATCTGATTGGCTGCGATAGTCTCTGATTGGCTATCAAAGTGATCAGTCACTATGAAGCCCACCACCCTTGGTTTTTTTTTTGTCCACTCTGAATGGAGAAGATACATTTTCTCTCCCTCTCCTTGATGAGAGAAAAAACACACACACACACACACACACACACACACACACACACACACACACACACACACACACACACGGTATAATCCACCTGGATGTACAAAGTAGTTGTCATGATATGTACAGTTTTACTAATATGTCAAAGTTGTAAAATTTTCACTTCGGCTTTAAGATTTGTTTTACCCTTAGGTGTGAAGGTTAAAAAGGCCAAAAAGATCATCATGCTCTATCTGCATGAGCAAATCCAGATAAAGCCATCGGGCAATAAGCTCTGCATTGTGCTATTGGAGTCTGCAATTTCCACATCAAGAAATAGAAATCAGGGTTTCCCCCCAGGTGGAACAGGGTAACAGGCAGACCGCACAAGGCACCTGCCAGAAACATATGTAATTATCTCAGGGGTGTGGACATTTTTGGAAAAAACAAAAAAAAACACTACTTGTCCAGGGAGTAAATCCGTGCCCCAATCTACTTGTCCTGATAAAAAAAAATAATAATGTTTTAACCAAAACCATATTTAAATCTGAGGTGCTTTTAGGAATGTCTGGGGCTTTTAAAAACAAGAAGGGGCTTTATGGCAACTTAAAAGTTTAATATGTTTAACATTGTACATCTCCTCCTACCCTCCCTTCCTGTCTCCAGCAACGCACCCAAGGATTAGCAGGGAGGAGAGAAACCTTGCAGTGTAATGAGCATAGATTGGCTACTCGTCAGGAAAGGGGACTGTCGAGCTTATCCTTTATCCCTTTTGCTCCCAGAGCTGTGTTTGCGGTTTTTTTTTTGCACACGTTTAAGAAATCATTTAAGGCGTGAGGATTACACAAAACCACCAAACATGATATATTTTCTGAAATCAGAGACTCTAGACAATAAAATTAGCAGTAGTTCCAATTTTTGTATGTCACAGGATATCACAGAGGTCTAGGAAACGCAAACTTTCAGTAAAAAATACACTTAAGTTAATTTTAGGACACAAAAAGCAAATTATCCAATGTTTTGGTAAAATATAAAAAGATGAGGTTGCATTGAGTAAATGGATATCCAACATGTTAAACCTTAAATTTGCGTGCGCCCGTGAAATGGCAACAAACTTTAGTACCCTATATTTTCTATAGGCGACACTGTTAAAGCCCCTTATAGGTCATCAGTATAGGGTACTGAGGAGGTCTGGTGCCGAATTATTGCTCTCATTCTGACGTAGCAAGGTACTGCATTACATTCTTTCCCGGCCTCAATCGCCAGGAAATCTGTCAACAGGGACCTAGAAGTGATGTCACATCACTTCTGGGTCAGGACAAGAAAGGGAGAGGAGCGGATGTGTCCACTCTCCTCCCTCCCCTATACCTGCACACACCCACTGAACTGGTCCCGGGCCTGCAGATGGGCAAGTGGAGCCCAGGAGACATAGCAGGCAGGAAGGCTGGCACCATAGTGGGCTGTGCGGAAGCAAATCGGGTGGCAGCGCTGCCTCCCAAATGCTTCCACCTGACAGGTGAGCCCTGCTGCTTGCCCGTAGCAGGGCTGAAGGCAAATAAAAAAAAATAAACCTGCCCGATGGCCGGAACTACATGTGTCAGGAGATCTGAATTGAACATCCCTGTATCTATTCACTACTGCAAATTAGGCTTAGACATTCAGGGTTAGTTTTTTTTTTTGGACGGGTCATAAGTTGCTTTCAGACCAACTGGCAGAGGTAGTTTAGTTTACTGTGCAAGTTTGTAGATCCACCAATCAGGAACTCTGATCCACTGTTCACTGACTTCCACTGCAATTGTATTAAAACCATGTGTTGCTTTATTCAATCCCATCTGATCACACAAATACTGCCACTGAGGTTGTGAGAAATCAATAGGCACTTTATGTGAGCACAGCTATGAATCACATCAAAACTACCCCTAATATGTTGGCCTAAGAATGAAGTTGCAATTTCGTAAATATTTTTAAAATGCTGCATGCAAACTGCTGCCATCTCACATTAGGTTGAAATTTCAAAAGAGAACAGCTGCTATCTGAAGTGGTACAGTGAAATCTTTCAACAAGTCGGCCATCAAGTAGGCACAAAGCCTAGAATGTCCTAACCAGCCTTTCCATCTCAAGCACTTACGAAGGCGCATTTTTGTACCCTCTAAAACACATTGTCTGCTTTTTCAATTGTCCCCTGACCCTTGCTGGAATAAAAGTTGCATCTGGACCTTTCAGCAACGGTGTGGCACTTCGGTTAACATTTAAGCATGGCTCTAAAGTAATGGGAACTTCAAGCCTAAGGCCTGGTTCACACCAATGCTTTTTGCAGAAATACTACAGTCCACCTAACATGGTTTCCGATGAGACATGTTCATATCTATGCTTTTTTGAGCAGCTGCATTTTTGGAAAGGGCCAGCGACTTTTTTTTTAAACACAAAAAGCAGCATTTTTGCTACAACAGAGTTCAATGGCGACGCTGCTGAAACACATGTAGTGCGTTTTTATTCTACCCAGCAACAAAAACCTTTCCTCTTTAAAGTAATAAGCCCAGGACCCTGCATCCACTATATCTGGTCTCCCACAGTACACAGAACATGGAAATGCTATTATTTTAGTAAATATAAACTGCTAAATACCTTTTCTCATCAGCAGTTAGAGCAGTCTTGTGACTTCAGCAGAACACTGGTTTAAACTTGTAGGAGTTTTCCTTCTGCTCTAGGAGGATGTGAAACCTCTGACCTCTGTCTGGACAGTGCTGATTGGCCCTGTGCTGATCACATGCACTTTCACAAGGGAAAAAAAAAAAACAAAAAAAAAAAAAAAAAAAAACTCTCTAGCAATATACACCAAACTGAGCATGTGACCAAGGGATTCAGTGTGTATTAGGTGGTCAGAGTGGCAGAGAAGAAAAGATCAAAACAGTCTTTTTGCACAATGCAGGGGATTAACCTCTTAGGTTCCACAGTGAGTATAACAAGCATGCTTTACTGCATATACAGACTGATTTTACTGTTGTGGGTATAGTAACATTTTTAACAAACACACCAAAAAACGAGTGTGTAAAAACGCAAAGCAAAATGCAAAAACAGATCAAAATGCAAACTGCACTGCTGTGAACCAGACATTCAAGTTTGCTTGTGACTCAAATGTAGTTTGCTCATGACATAGCACTGAGGTACAATTACAGGCAATTATTTCAACCTTTACCTGCTCATGTTTAATTCATCAACAGAGTGGGTGAACTTTTCTAAATATTCTGTTGCTAATATTATCAAGAACAGTTTAGCCAAACTATCACTAAGGCCTCACTGCACACAGGCTAATGAAAGTAAGCAGTATTTGTTCTGCCAAGGAAAAAAAAAAAAAAAAAAAAAAAAAAAAAAAAAAAAGTACACACTGCTAATGTTAAAATATATATATTCATATGGTGTGAGTGTAAATGTATTCTATTGGCCAGCATGTTATGTTGTCAGCACCCGGGGCAAGGCAACTTTTGGACGACAAGCTGCACATGATGTGATCTACCGCACAACAATCACAGCAAAACCGCACCACATGCACCTGAACCTGCGTTTTGCAATCGCATCGAATCTGCTGCGATCCTAAACCACCCAGGTGTGACTGGAGCCACCCTGGTTTACACATACGAGATTCTGGATATGGTTTCAAACTCACAGATTCAGATTCACACAACAAACTAGGTATTAGTGGTGCATCGAAATGAAAATTCTGGTGCTGAAACCGAAAATTCAAAAGGCACTTGGCACTTTAAAAATGTATATATCTTTTGGGAAAAAATACACGGATAAAAAAAAAAAAAAAAAAAAAAAAAACATTGATCTAGTACTTTTAAAATAATAATAATAAAAAAAAAAAAAAAAAAGGACCAGAATGGGCAGCAACATCGCTTCGGTCCTCTAAGGGCATAGAGATGATTGGCGGCCATCTTTCCTTCACTCATCTCTATGCCCAGTGCCAGGATTGATGGTTTCTCAGGTAAGGCTGAGAACTAAAGAGCAGCAGCAACGGGCAGGTGGCAGCAGGGGGCGGAGTTTTTTCAGCACCTTCATCAGTGCTTTTTTTTTTTTTTTTTTCCATTTCGGCCAACGGGTTTTTTCGGACAAAACGTTTCGCCCACGGAAATTTCGTTGCATCCCTACTAGATACGTGTTCCTGCTGAGGCGGGTCACACAGATGCGATCCACATACATTGCATACCGAGTGCCATTACGAAAAGGGCCCTGTGTGAGTTTGTAGCAGTGCATTGCAGACTCACAAGTTAGAGTAGAGTGGCATGCGTAGACAAATGTTCACATAGGATTGCTATTAGCGGGAGTTTTTTGCATTGAAGACTATGGGAAGCAGTGTGTAAACTCAGAAAGAAATTTCTAGTCACCATGGCGACCTGGGATTTATTAAGCCCTGGTTTAAGCACTTTCTGCTCAAAAGCGCCTCTCAGAATGCACCTTTGGCACTTTTTTTCCCTGCCAGTAAACACTCCTCTTCCAATAAGCCTGTAAAATGTCTGTGTGCATGGCCACACAAGCTAAGCACTTGACAGCCATAAGAACAAAACACTGAACTGTTCAAGTGGCAGTTTTTACACTCCGCGTGTATGAGATCTAAATGAACAAGTGCTTGCATCATGAGTCACATTAAAGAAATCACAGATTGTTAGAAAGCCAAGAAACCAAGGGCACGCAGCATTCATCAGAGGTGTCTCGTATATGTGTTTTACTGTGACAAATTTTCCCAACATAACAATTTTGAAGGCTAAAATGGAAGCTGCAACTGCTGAAAATTTTGTAAAAAGGTACAAGCATGGAGGCTGTTATTCTGATCATGGCAATATCAGTATACAGGACACTGAACAGGTCAGAAATAGGAGTTCAGCTACAGCAGCATTACACCCAAACAGGTATTTGACTATATTGCAGCTTACCAATCAAACATGGTGTGGCTGCATTAGTTTTCTTTAAGGCTCCCCCCCCCCTTCCCCCCTGTATGGAGAAGCAGTGGAGATACCTTTGTACGTCAGCACTATAAATATGGGGAGTGGGTAGGGTAAAGTGGTATCAAACTGAAAGGCAAACATATTGCAGATTACCATTTTGTAGATGGGATGGCTGAATTCATTTTCATCTGGTGATCTAGCTGGTGTTTTTCAAAAGCACAAGCTCTCCAGCAGTGTGTCAGTTACAGAGATGAGACAAGCCAATAAAACACTATCATTAGGTGCTTACAATGATCAGTTTTTATTTAAAACCTCTATCCCCAAAGGAAAAAAAAAAAAAAAAAAAAAAAAAGTTTGCTGTAACTGCTTAAAGTATTAGCTGGAGTTTGGTTTCAATCTGTTAGTGTATTTAAACTCTGATAGTACAACACTACCCTCCCCACAGACTGGCAATGCTGCTGTACAAAAAGGTGCTCCCTATGCTCTTTCATCCAGAGTGGGGTCTCCCTAATACAGAAGTGTGTAACTGGCCAGATCACCAAATAAAAAAAAAAGCCTAATGTAAACCAAAAGCAGCTACCACATTTAATGACTTGCAAGCTGCAGTATTACATTTTTTATTGTGTGTGTTATCGCTTTAAGCAGGTCATACACAGATCTTTTTCTTTCCGTTCAGTCTTCAAAAAATTGAAAAAGAAAACTAAAAAAATAATTAAATAAAGTCTATGATTCCTCCATCCACACTACACAGAGCAGTCTTGCCATCTGTCAAAATACCCTAGCAATGCCTATATCTGATGGGGTGTAAGTACTGTTTGGCGACCAATTTTCCACCTGGCTCCTTTGATTTTTCAGTTAAGGGATATCAAGCTGGATGCAGCCAACAGAGTCAAGTTTCACATTGCAAACACCCGTCAGTGGTAAATGGTTAGTCTCAACCTTTTAACTGCTTGTTCTGTCTCAACAGCCTGGTCTGTTAAAGGAAGTTGAAAAATAACAGACATACTAGCTGGATCACCAGGTAAGAAGAAAAAAAAAACAAACAAACAAAAAAAAAAACCTAGAAACTGCAATACAATCCATTGAGCTTTAATTCCATCTAAAAATGGTTATCCCATTATAAACTTAATTTCAGGAAACACCTTTTGGGTGTCAATTGTGGGACAGGCACAGCATGGCTCCCACTGCCCTAGAAGTAGGACAACCACAGATACCAGCTATTCCTAATGTCGGTTTAAGGTCTGCTAATTTGCATATAAGCAGCCTTGCCCAGCTTCAGAAACAGGCAGAGGCTATGGGTCTAATAAAATTCTGCTATATAAAAATGTTTAAACCAAAGTTTTAATATGCAAAGAGGAAAAATTCTATATTTCTCAACAGAATGTAATTTTCCTTGTGAAAAGTGCGTGCATGAAGGTAAAGATCAAGTGTCAGTGCCTACCATCTTACCTCTCCTACATATTCCATTACGAAGCTGTTTTTGCGTATCTTCTCCAGTGTCCTTACACCCCATCCCCTTCCATCAGGTGTCCTGAAAATACAGAAGTTATACTGGATTCCTTTCTGCACCACTCTGTTTGGGCATGAAGGGCCACATCGGCAGAGGGAATTGCATTCATAAATTGGAAAGCCTGGCTTCACTTTCACTTGTCCTTCTTCATTATAAGCAAATTTGTGTTGAAAACCTCCAGGGCAGCAGCCTCGCTCATCTGTAAAACAGTCCCGACATTTGCACCCTACAGCAGACTTGGTAATGGTCACTCCTTCCCCAACTCTGTACTCATTAATGTACACAAAGTCCTTGGGTGGACCCTCCAAATCCACTTCATTTTCTACGGTTATAAGGCCTGGGTGAGCTCGTTTGGAATTCAGATGCTGCTCCCACAAACGAAGCCATTGCCTTTGCTTGGCCTTAAGCACCACATAGTGTGAGAGACTGGAGTCTAGTGTGCGGGGGCAGCGTGCAACTACTTTTTTACTGGTTGATGTCCCAGCAGCCTTTGCTCTTCGTAACAGCTCCCGTTCCAGGTCCCGGTGAAACTGCCGAAGAAGGTTGAAGCATCTGAGATGGCGACGTGGTTCCCACGAACACTCAGAATCTGAGTAGCCTTTCCACTTCACAAGGTATAGTTCCTCCTCCTGAAGGGTGAAAACATCGTAAAATTATGTGAAATCTCGATGCGCTGTACACTTTAGTGCCATCTGATTTCACTGTGCCCTCCACTGGTCTAAATGGGGTCTGCACAGTCCTGGCAGCATGTATGCTAAAGCCTTACATGCTGCCCCCATTGCAATGTTTCAGGCAGTGTAGCTAAAGTGGTTTACCACTAGTCTCTGAACCAGCATGAGTCCAACTCGCAGTTTAATTTAACCACTTGCTGTATGGGGCAATTTTAAAATTTTTCAAACATGCTAAAAGCAGCAATTTTGCTAGACAATTAATTAGAACCCCCCCCAAAATTATATATATATTCTGATATAGCAGAGACTCTGGAGAATAAAATGGTGGCTCATACAATTTTTTGTGTCACACAATATATCTGTGCAGTCATTTATCAAACAAGTTTACAAGGAGGGGGAAAAAAAAAAAAAAAAAAAAAAAAACCCACTACACTAAAATGAATTTTAGTGCACACAAACACGATAGAATATCTTATAAATAAACCTCTGACAGTGTCACACAATATAAAGTGCATCAATCTCTTCTAAAATATAAAAAATGTGTTCTTCTAACAAACGTGCGTATGCAATGTATGTCACATATATAAAAAAAAAACTTGATCAAAGAAATATCCAAATATGGTCAAAGTTCCAAATGTCCGTATGAAATAATTTCCACAATAGTTACAATATATGTGCAAAATTTTGATATATATATATATATATATATATATACACACACACACACACACACACATATATATATATATACACACACACACACACACACATATATACACACACACACACACACACATACATACATACATACATACATACATACATACACATACATACATACACTTTTACCTATCGCTTGCATCTCTCCTATCACCTATTTCCATTTGCTCTCACCTTGATGCTTTGACTAAAAATTAGGTCTCATGTGCCTTCCCCCTCTAATGGGGTCTTCTTTGTCACGGTTGCTCTCTCCTTCTCTCCACTGGTGACTTCAACTTACCTCCATCCTCTGCAATCCCGTGGTATACACACGAGATTCGCTCCAAAATTGATGACAGACAGACAGACCTCTCTGTGTGGGCAACTATATTTTATTAAAAAAGATTAAAATGTACTCAAACTATAAAGTACACCACAACTGGTGTACTTCAGTATCCAAATTCATAGTATGGATGACCAACAAAATGGCTGCCTGCACACTTTCGGTTTAGCAGTGTGATATCACTGGCTCCTTCTTGGAGGAGCCGGTGAGGTCACGCTGCTAAACCGTAAGCAGCCAGTGACCCCATTATAAGGGGAAGGCACACGAGACCTAACTTTGGGTCAAAGCGTCAAGATGAGAGCATATGGTAATAGGTGATGGGAGAGATGCACACGGTAATAAGAAGATAAAAAAGTGGAGACTATATAAATGCAATAAAGAACCGAGATTTTGCACATATATAAGAACTATTGTGGAAATTTTATTTCCTACAGACATTTGGAACTTTGATCATATTTGGATATTTATTTGATCACATTTATTTTGATATGTGACATATATTGCATACGCACATGTTTGAGCAACGTACTTTATATTTTAGAAGGGATTAGTGCACTTTATACTGCGCGACACTGTCACAGATATTTTTTTTATCATTTTCACTTGTGGTAATACAAGAAGTGTCAACAGCAGCAAGGACATTAGTCCATGCATTTACATGCTTTTTTTTTATATTGTATTATGTAATATACAAGCACACATGCACTTTGATTTATGGTCACAATATATAGCACTTTGCTTAGTGTGGTAGCACTATATTCTTCTTTACAGTGATAGCGCTCAGGTTTTTTTGTGGTTTCAAGATAGAATACCCAATTTTCTTTTACCCTTCATACTATAATAAAAGTGATTAAGTGGTTATAGAGCTGCCCAAATAATTTTCTTTAGCAGCCGATCACCAGCTGTAAAAAGGTGAAATCCCTACAAAAAAACGGGTCTGTATTAACAGTACATTTACCTGCACCCGCTTATAGTCACACAAATATTCCACTTCAAAATTGCAGATATTTTTCCGGTTCACTCCAAGAGCAGCACAACATACATGCTCAAGTCGACTCAACTCCTGAAGATGAGACTCTGTGGACAGACACTCAACTGAACAACCTGAAGAAAATGAGGAAAAAAAAAAAAAAAAAAAGTGAGCAGCGCACTCAATGTAATGGGTTACATCCAACATTAAACAGTAAGAAGCTTAAAGGAATAAAACAAATAAAAGTAAAATTAAAACATTAGGCATGTATAGTTTCTCAAACTTATTGTGCATAAATCCAACATTTATAGAAATGAAACTATAGCTAGCAAGTTACAAATCTACTAGACCATTTTTGTCCTGGATACATTTGATAATATTTAAATAAGTTGTCAGTGTTCCTGCAGCTGCAACCACCCACACAGAAAGACATTAAAACCTTAATGGCAGGCCACATGCACGAGAAGCCTCTCCCACACTGGGAACCACACTGCAGTTGTGATTCCAGAAATGCCACAGAGAAAGTTTTCCTGCATTTCGGGAGACACAGCAGCCCATGCAAATCACAGCTTGCAGAGCTGAATCAATGTGAACCTAGCCGACGACAGGAATGCACAATTCTCAACCACCAAGTTGCAAATCCTACTGAAAACTGTGGAGACCAGTCCAATGCTGGTAAGCAGGAGGGCACTGAAATACAGCCTGTACTAGTGTCACTGTATTACAGATATATTGCCAGCTCTCTCCCAGTGTTAAGTTCTATTCTCCTGGACTTCTTAATAAACACAGCCATGCATCACTGGGCAAGCACAGACAGGAGAGTTCCTGCAACCAGCCTAAACGTACTCAGAGGGACATGCACAATCAGCTGGCTGGATGAAGGAGGAATCCCAGGACCTTTTGCGAACATCCCTCCACAATGGCTGCAGAGCAAACCCCATCCTCGACTGGAGTGTACCTGAAAGTGTACAGTGGGCAGAGTCTGGTGATCCCACAGCAGTGTGCACGCGCCAGCCATACAACTCTACTCCTCAAGGAGAGTAGCAGATCCTGCCATCATAACATTTTCATTTCAGCCACCTGATCCCCTACCACCCTGTGCTTCTATTGCTATGTAGAGAAGGGACTGTCCAGTAGCTTTGTGTGTATAGAGGAGGTGGTGGTCAGTCTGCTGTTGGAAAAGGAGAGGGGAAGGGGAAGCACGATCTAACCCTCTAGAACACGGGTGTCAAATTGGCAGCCCTCCAGCTGTTGCCAAACTACAAGTCCTATGAGACATTGCAAGATTGACAGTTACAAGAATGACTCCAAAAGGTAGAGGCATAATGGGAATTGTAGTTTTGCAATAGCTGGAGGGCCGCCAGTTTGACACCCCTGCTCTAGAATATGGATGACCTCTGTGGTGACAAATGGGACAGGGAGAAGGATAAATAACAGGCAGTGGGGATGGTGAGTGACAGACCACCGGCCACTGCAATGCCAACTACACAAGGGCAGATCTGATTATAGTTCATTTACAAAGTTCTGCCTATACAAGCCATTCATTATATGCCTTGTCACCAGAGTTGCGGTGGGGGATAGGGGGCAGGTACCCAATTCTGGTAAGTAACCACTTCAAGGCAGATTGCTTTGGCAATCCAAGAAGAAGTTCATTCCCCCGTCCCCCCCCCAGCCTTCTAGGACACATCACTGGTTCTGCACTCTACTGGGACCTTTCACAAAGTGCAGCATGGCTCATGTGTGCACAGTGGGAAACCAGCTGTGAATCCACAAGGCTTTACTACCAATTAGCTAAGATGTTGGCTCCTGGACTTGAAAAATTGGTTCGGGCAAGGACCCTGCTGGTTTCCTGCACAGGTACGTTTTGTAGCTGCTGACAATTTGTTTGGAGGGAGACTGGAGAATCGCTTTTAGCCTGGGTTCACATATATGCCGCGCGATTTTGATGGCCGGATGCAGGGCGATTATGTTCAAGCGGTGCAGGTGCAATTTTGATGCAAATTGTTAAAGTGTATCAGGCTGAAACATCACACCCGCACCGGAATAAAATAACACTGCAAAAAGGACCACACGGTTGTTAACGGCAAACATAGAAAGCTTTTGTAATTTGACCTGCCATGCACCTCAATGCAGCCTGAACCCCATTAGAAAGCGCATATGCGTGAACAGAGAACTAAAAATAAAGCAGGTTTAACCACTTGCCCTCCCGAGGATTTACCCCACCCCCACCCAAATTAAATGTGTGTCCTTTTTCTTTCCCCATGAATTGAGCTTTCTTTCGGTGGTATTTGATTGCCTGTGCGATTTTTATTTTTTTTTACGCAAAAAAAAAAAAAAAAAAAAAAAAAAACCACATACTATTTTTGACTTTTTGCTATTAACCACTTGCCCTCCTGAGGACTGGATTTACCCCCCTTCCTGACCAGGCTTTTTTTTTTTTTTCGCTATTCGGCACTGCACTATTTCAACTGGTAGTTGCGCAGTCATGCAATGCTGTACCCAAACAAAACTTATGTCCTTTCACACAAATAGAGCTTTCTTTCGCTGGTATTTGATCACCTGTGTGTTTATTTTTTGCGCTATAAACAAAAATAGAAAATTTTGAAACCAAAAAAAAAAAAAAAGTCATATTTTACTTTCAGCTATAAAAATATGTTAGTAAACGCAAAGTTAGTCATAAATTTAGGCCAAAATGTATTCTGCTACGTTTTTGGTAAAAAAAAAAAAAAAAAAAAAAAAAAAATCCCAATCAGTGTATATTGATTGCTTTGTGTGAAAGTTATAGTGTCTACAAACTATGGTAGAGATACTGCAATTTACGCTTTTTGCACTAGTTTAACTGACAATTGCGTGGTCATGCACTATGGTACATAAATGAAATGCATGTACTTTTTTTCCACAAAAATAGAGCTTTCCTTTGGTGGTATTTTATCTCCTCTGGGTTCTCTCATTTCCGTCATAAAAAATATCCAAAAAAACTCACATTTCTTCATAAATTTCGGCCAAAATGTATTCTGCTACAGGTCTTTGGTAAAATAAATCCAATAACTACATATTAACTGGTTTGTGTGAAAGTTATAGCATCTACAAACTATGGTACAGATAATGGAATTTACACAGCTTTTACTTTGACTCTCTTGAGGTGCTAAAATACCAGGACAGTACAAACACTCTCAAATTACCCCTTTTTGGAAAGCTGACACCCTAAGCTATCTGCTGAGAGGCATGTTGAGTCCATGGAAGATTTTTTTTTTCCCAACAAGTTTTTGAAAAATGACAAACTTTTTTTTTTTTTAACACAAAGTTGTCACTTAAATGATATTACTCACACAAGCCATTGGTATATGTGGAATTATATAAAGAATCCTCCTGCGCTCTATACACCTATAATCTAACAGTGGAAGCAGCTAACACCTAGTCCTATACCTTTAGGTGAACCATAAATAAACAATATAAAATGGTGTAGCGCTGGAGAAGGAGGGAGATGGTGCATGAGAGAGTATTATTGTGAGGGTGCCTACCTGTCCAGAAGATATAACAACAGCGGTGATACAGGATATCAGTGGGGATATAATGCCCAGGATACCAGGCTAAAATAAGTGCATATAAAAGGGAGGATCCAGAGGTGATCCAAAAGGCTTTGTGGCCCTGTGGGGTCACCGAGTGGAGGCGAGAGGCCACTGCAGCCATTTCTAGTAGCACTTATCGGTGTGTTATGTATTCACACTGCATATTTTGCATGACCAGAAGGAGTTAAACACAGTGTCTGTTTGGTTTCACAGAAATTGGACTTTTTTGCACTGTTGTCATTATATTTTTTCACGTATTATTTACAATAGTTGTTACTTGAGTTTTGTTTAATTATTTGAACACAGAGTGTTTTAACCCTCAACAGGGATTCACAATACATACACACACACATATATAATTGTGTCCCAGTTTATTGGGTACCAGGGGTCACGTCAGTTGTATCCCTTATAGGGATTGGGTTCACATTTATACTATCACCTGTTTAGGTCACTTTATTTGGTCCCAATATAGGACCTCGTGTGGTTTTTAGCACATTTAGTCACGTTTTATGTTTATTTATGTAGCGCTACACCATTTTGTATTGTTTATATATGTGGAATTACACCCCAAAATACATTCTGCTATTTTTACATACAGAAGTCTGAAATCCAATGACTGCTTTGAAAGCCTGAAGGAACGCAATTTCCTGCTATCACAGTTTGCAAATATAAAAAAAGAAATGAATAAAATAGGTTTTTGTTTTCTTTCTTCATTTTCCAAAAACTTGTGACAGCAAACGAGATCTGTAAAGTACTCACTATGCTTCCTATCAAATTTCTTGGGGCGTCTACTTTCCAAAAAGGGTTCATTTGGGGGGGGGGGGGGGGATTGGTGCCATCCTGGCATATATGCTCTTTTTTTTTTCTTTCAACTGCGGACGAAAGGGAAAAAAATAAATAAATAAAAAATTCTCTCTCAGATAAAAACATTTCCAATTAACCACTTGCCTACTGGGCACTTTTAACCCCTTCCTGTCCAGAACAATTTTCAGCTTTCAACGCTGTCGCACTTTGAATGACAAGTGCATGGTCATGCAACACCGTACCCATATGACATTTTTTTAATTTTTTCACACAAATAGAGCTTTATTTTGGTGGTATTTATTCGCCACTGAGTTTTTTATTTTTTGCACTAAAAAAAAAAAAAAAAAAAAAAAAAAAAAGAGAAGAGCAAAAAAAAAAAAAAAAAAGAAAAAAAAAAGTTTGTTTCCATTAAAAAATTTTGCAAACAGGTACATTTTATCCTTCACTGATGTGCATTGATGAAGCAGCACTGATAGGACTTGATGAGGCACTGATGCTGCTGCACTCAAAATTAGTGACCTCTGTGACACTTGTAGGTTATTGGCAGTATTTTCTTCACACTGACGATAACCGGCAACTGTATTTACTTCGTGATCAGCTGTGTCATTGGGGACAGCTGATCACATGGTAAAAGGATGCTGTGATTGTGTCCATAGGACACAGCGATCACAGACAGCGCTGGGTGCGGGTTTTGGGAGACAGTTATAGGACGCCCTCCTAGAACTGGACAATTGCTCTGTAGCCGTCATTCAGCTATAGCCCGGTTTTCAAGTGGTTAAAAAAAAATATATATCTAACTTCTTCATAAGTTTAGGCCATAAGTATGCTGCTACA